GAGGATCGCCCGGCAGCGAGGCAAGAAAGCCGAGGCTCCCCCTGGACTGCTAGGGCTGTTGTGAGCTGAGGGGGCACTCCTCAAGTGGCGGTTGAGGGGCATTTACAGAGGCGCCTCTGCGCCCCTGGCAAAAAAAAGTGTTCTGCGACCGCTTACTTTGCGTAATGGACAAGCTGCCCCTGCTGGTATTGGATGTTGTTGCTCACCTGCTTGTGAATATGAGAATTACTCTCCTTGTGAAACACCATAAAGTCTCTTGTATGACATTAAATCCTCTTATACACAGAGTAGGGCCTGCTTTGTTGCTGCCTCATATACCATTCTTTGTGTGCCAATTCCCTAGTTTGGTGCTGTGTGTGTGAATGCTTTTAAGAAACATCGCGTGTTCTGCTCAGCTTTGGGGAATTGTTTTGATTGATATGCACAAATTCATCTATTTCTGTTGGTGTCACTTTTAGTATTTTTGTATTATGTTAAACGGAAAGAACTCTATCTCTCAAGTGCCCTGGAGTGTATTTGGGTATTTGCATTACAATCGTTTGTTTAGCTTCCCAGGCAGGAATTCTTTCATAACCGAAATTTCTTGTGACAACTGTCTTTAGAAGGGAAACAACAACTATCTCAAATAACAGTCACTTTGCATTGTTATCACTAGCTGTAATGCTTCCCCATCAGAATATTTGCAAAGCCATTTTCCTTAAGAACAGCGGTGCCTTTAAGTAAATTGTTTAGGAAATTGTATTTTTATTCATATCCTGCCTTTCAGTCCCCTCTCAGTATTCTATTAAGGTTTGCATTCGGTTGCATTACTCTGCTTGACTTGGTAATGCATGGCATATGATGATGAAATTGTATTTTGACAAAAAATGTCTTTGAAGTATAAATTAGTGTCAGGTGTTGTTGATTGTAGAGAAGGCAAGCATAAAAATAACAATAAATAAAAAAAAGTCTCGAGTGAAGTCATAAGTAGTTCAGGACTTTGTGCTGAATGTGAATAAGCTTAGGATGAACAGAGCTTTGGCAGTAAATCAAACAAACAAAATATAGACAAAAATAGGACTGCTCTATTTTAACCTTCTGGTTGTAGACATAAAATTCACCCCACTCCAGTCTAGAATCACTAGGCATAATATATACTGTATGTATTATATTTATATTTATAGTTCAAGCATCTTTTCATTTATTTGTCTAATATCTTTAGGACAATGTTTCTCAACCTTCCAAATGCTGTTCCTCATGTTGTGGTGACCCCCAACCATAAAATTATTTTCGTTGCTACTTCATAATTGTAATTTTGCTACTATTATGAACCATAATGTAAATATCTGGTATTATTTTCATTTACTGGACCAAATTTGAATACTGGTGGGATTTGAGGGGGGGGGGGTTGATTTTAGTAATAATAATAATAATAATAATAATAATAATAATAATAATAATAATATAATTTATTTATATTCTGCCCTATCTCCCCAAGGGGACTCAGGGTGGATCACATAACACATACACAACAAACATTCAATGCCATTGAAACAGACAGGACAAACAGACAGAGGTATGTTGTGGTGGCATCCAACTGTGGTGCTCTGGAGTTTGTGCTCAATTCTGGACACAGGGGGGTGCTGTAGCTCCATCCTCTATGACAGTGTTTCTCAACCTGGGGTCGGAACCCTAGGGGGGGTTGCAAGGGTGTGTCAGAGGGGTTGCCAAAGACCATTAGATAACACAGTACTTTCTGTTTGTTATGGGGGTTCTATGTGGGAAGTTTGGCCCAATTCTGTCGTCGGTGGGGTTCAGAATATTCTTTGATTGTAGGCGAACTATAAATCCCAGCAACTAAAACTCCCAAATGTCAAGGTCTAGTTTCCTCAAAATCCAGTTGGGCATATTGAGTATTCATGCCAAGTTTGGTTCAGATCCATCATTGTTTGAGTCCACAGTGCTCTCTGGATGTAGGTGAACTACAACTCCAAAATTCAAGGTCAGTGCCCACCAAACCCTTCCAATATTTTCTGTTGGTCATGGGAGTTCTGTGTGCCAAGTTTGGTTCATTTCCATTGCTTGTGGAGTTCAGAATGCTCTTTGATTGGAGGTGAACTATAAATCCCAGCAACTACAACTCCCAAATGACAAAATCAATCCCCCCACAACCCCACCAGTATTCAAATTTGGGTGCATTGGGTATTTGTGCCAAATGTGGTCCAGTGAATGAAAATGCATATCGGATATTTACATTACAATTCATAACAGTAGCAAAATGACACTTATGAAGTAGCAACAAAAATATTTTATGGTTGGGGGTCACCACAACATGAGGACCTGTATTAAGGGGTCGCGGCATTAAGAAGGTTGAGAACCACTGCTCTATGATAAAGAGCCATTTATTTATTTATAACATTTGTATCCCACACATATCAGCCCAAAGGCTACTCACAGACTCCCTCCTTCCTTTTAGTCATTGCCATTTCTGATATTTCTGATATTTCTGGTATTTCCTTTTATGGTGCCAAAAAAAAACAAAAACCCCTCCCTCACTTTAAGCGGTACCTAATTTCTGTACTTACAGCTCTTAAGCTGTTTTCAAACTGCTTTAGGTGGACAGTAAGCTGGGCTAATAGTTGGGTGCTCACCCTGACCTGGGCTTCGAACTGGCAACCTTTCGGTTGGTAAGATCTTATTGCTGCTGGTGATTTACTAGCTGTGCTAAAGCCCGGCTCTAGCTGTGCTAAAGCCCAGTCCATTGTCATTTGGGAGTTGTAATTGCTGGGATTTATAGTTCACCTACAATCAAAGAGCATTCTGAACTCCACCAACGATGGAATTGAATCAACCTTGGCACACAGATCTCCCACAACCAAGAGAAATTACTGGAAGGGTTTGGTGGGCATTGACCTTGAGTTTTGGGAGTTGTAGTTCACCTATATCTAGAGAGCACTGTGGACTCAAACAATGATGGATCTGGACCAAACTTGGCACAAATACTCAATATGCCCAAATGTGAACACTGGTGAAATTTGGGGAAAATAGACCTTGACATTTGGGAGTTGTAGTTGCTGGGATTTATAGTTCACCTACAATCAAAGAGCATTCTGAGCCCAATCAATGATAGAATTGGGCCAAACTTCCGACACAGAACCTCCATGCCTTGAAGGCCCTCACTGGCATGAGCCTCCCTCCAGCCTCACACGCTCTCCCTTGTCACACATTTCCACCATGTTGCCATGCGCCAAGCACGCCTGCTCTCCCCTCCCTGCTAGGAGTCTCAGAAAAAGCCCGCCTCTTGACTGACTGTCCAATCACAGCAGAGGAGGGCTTTGGTGGGAGGATTTGCAGTCTGTTTCCCAAAAGGAAGTGAAGGACAGGCAGAGAGATCTTCAGCCTTCTCTACCAAAGGAGTTCCTAAGACCATCAGAAATATGTGTTTTCTGATAGTCTTTGGTGACCCCTCTGAAACCCCTTTGCAACCCCCCCCCCCGGGATCCCGACTCCCAGGTTGAGAAACACAGCATTAGGGAAAACATGATAATCTGAACTCAAAAGTGATACTTTAAACCCCACAATAGGGTTTACACAACAAACAAAAACAACCACAAAGAGCATTTACACTTTTGCTTGTAAATGAGTAATTGTCTTAAGACCTTGGAGAGAGAGAGAAAAAAAAAACCACGGTGAGGATAAATGAGAGAAGAATCAGAAGTGATTGGATACCCATTAAACATCCTCTGAGGAGCCGGTGTATTTACAGGCAGCTTTTTCATGCCAATTTTACTTTGAAGATACATAAATTTTGTAATTCTCATCATTAGTAGTATAAGCATGGTAAAGTATAAGTTAATTCTACAGTAATGTGATTATTAAAACCATTAGTCAAAGCCAAGGGATCCATAATTAACTTATTCTCCAGCACCAAGTAAATGATTCTACTGTGTGCTTTAAGGAAGCCATTGTTCACTCTTATGCAAAATACACCAGAGCTATTAGACTATAAAGCTCTGCAATCTTATAATTAAATTATAAATTTTACATATTTTAATAATCCGCTCTATATATTTTAATTGTTTCCAGCATATTACTAGTAAAAAGAGAGAATGACAATTTGGCTTTTCTGCCTCCCAGCCAAAGCACGAGAATAGTTCAACATGCTGTAAAATCAACTCATAATCTCACCATGGAGGGAGATGAATATCAATCGTTAAGGAATCAAGATTAGGGAATCAAGAAAAGGAACAAGAAATTCCTCTTGAGGAGCAAAATTCCCTTCTATGAGTGTAATGGGCATGTCATGTTATGTGTACTCTTGTTCACCTGAGACCCACTCACACAATGCAGTTATATTATTTCTATTCCACTTTAATAGCCATGGCTGCATCCTATGGAATCCTGGGACCTCATGAACTAGCCAAACGCCGGAGCTCCCTGTCAGCCGTCACCACCCCCAGCTCCTTCAAGGTAAAGCCAGTCACTTCAAGGATGCCATCCATCCATCTTGCCCTTGGTCGGCCCTCTTCCTTTTTCCTGCCATTTTCCCCATCATTGTCTTCTCTAAGCTTTCCTGTCTCCTCATGATGTGGCCAAATTTGATTAGGGATAGTGAAAATTCATATAACAATACTGGAAAGGTGGAAGGACTCTTTTGTTAAGATCTGGGTATGTGAGAGCAGAATTCCCCTTTTTATTTACTTTTAAAGGAATGAACATACGGTGTTTTTCTTTGCTTTTGTGACAGAGGTTTGTTCTTTATCTGTTGCATCACGAGTTTGTGATTTTATTTTGTGTTTTGCCTGGGGAAAAGTGTTTTTAAGACACACAATGGACACATTTTAAGGGAAGGTTAGGCAAGTTTTCAGGAGAGGTTTTCTTTGCCTATTGTAGTACGGTCATAATAATCACTGTTACTGTTTTGTAGTAAAAACATCCATCTGTCTATCTATTTTCACTATTATCGATTTGAAGAAATAAGTATCTGCTGCTCGTTTCTCTTTAAAAGTCGGTGTGTTTGCTATAGACTCGTACTCCAAAACTGGAATGTGACATGCTCTCTCTCTTTTCCGCCTGCTCTCCACTTTCCTTCTGGCTCGACTCCAAAGGTCTTTGCTTCTTATCCACTGCAGTCTCAAGATGAAGCCCCTGGTGGTTATAGCTGTGCTCGTAGGAGCCCTCGGGGAGGTTTCACAGACCTTCCCTGCCTGGTACCACAGGGGCTGGCTGCGACTGCTAAGAGAAGGGGATGGCTGTGGGGCATGCCATTTGGAGCACTGCCCCGTGCCCACAAACTGTCGAGCTGGGACCGTCTTAGACCTATGTGGTTGCTGTCCTGAATGTGGGAACGTAGAAGGACAAATCTGTGACCTGGACCATGGCAGCAATTTCTATGGACACTGTGGAGACAACCTGGAGTGCCACCTGGATGTGGACGACATAAAGTCTGGAGAAATCCCCGAGCCGCAGTGTGTGTGCAAATCAGAAGAAATGGTGTGTGGACCCGACGGAAGGACCTATGAGAACATCTGCCAGTTCAGGGAGGCTTACGCAGAGAAGGGAGCAAATAGCAGCATAAAGCACAAAGGACCATGTAAATCAGGTAAGCCATGACAGATGTTTACTGTGCTTAACACATCACTTAGGAAGGTTTTGGTCTGTGAAGCTTGCTCTCAGCTATTTGTTGTTGTTCATTTGTTCAGTCGTCTCCGACTCTTCGTGACCTCATGGACCAGCCCACACCAGAGCTCCCTGTCGGCCGTCACCACCCCCAGCTCCTTCAAGGTCAGTCCAGTCACTTCAAGAATGCCATCCATCAGGCCCGTAGCCAGGATTTCGATTCGGGGGGGGGGGGCTTTTTTCGGGGGGGGGTTTGGGGGGCTGGGTTTCGGGGGGGGGGCTGAGTCTGAGTGAAAGAGGGTCTACCCTAGAAAACCTTTTGTATCATTACCCCAATACCCCCATGCATATGGGATATATTGAGTATGGTGATCAGATCATGATATGAATAAACATAACAGTTTAAGTAATGCACCAGTAAGGCCTTTTCGCGAACCACCATGAGAATTTTGGGGGGGGGGGAGCCCCTCAAGCCCCCCCCCCCCGGCTACATGCCTGCCATCCATCCATCTTGCCCTTGGTCGGCCCCTCTTCCTTTTGCCTTCCACTTTCCCCAGCATAATTGTCTTCTCTAGGCTTTGCTGTGCAACCCAATACCTGGGCTGGCTTCAAATTCAGGACTTCTTGGTCAGTAGCAGGCATGTAGCCAGGGGGGCCTTGGGGGGCTTCAGGCCCCCCCCCCTGAAATTCTCATGGTGGTCCGCAAGAAGGCCTTACTGGTACATTATTTAAACTGTTATGTTTATTCATATCATGATCTGATCACCATGCTCAATATATCCCATATGCATGGGGGTATTGGGGTAACGATACAAAAGGTTTGCTAGGGTAGACCCTCTTTCACTCAGACTCAGCCCCCCCCACCCCCCCCCCCCCCCCGAATCAAACTCGGCTTCCCCCGAAACAAAATCCTGGCTACAGGCCTGGTCAGTAGTGATTTAATGGAGCGAGCTACTAACCAGCTGTGCCACAGCTTGGTCTGTGATATTAATAATAGCAGAATAATAATCTACCATGCACATTAATAAATGTTGGGGTCACAAACTATAGCAGAAAGTTGTAGGAGCATACACTTTCATGGTTAGATTGTAGTGATCCTTATATTTGTTAGAAACACAAACATCCATCAAACTTAGTCAATGGAGTTAAAATAACATAATTGGTGACAATTTACAAACTAGAAAGGCTGAAGATGCACCCGTAAGTAGTGGTGGTGGTAGTAAAGAAAGTTGTAACAGCAACAAAATCCAATAATCTACAATGATATTATATTGTCGAAGGCTTTCATGGCCAGAATCACTGGGTTGTTGTAGGTTTTTCTGGGCTATATGGCCATGTTCTAGAGGCATTTTCTCCTGACGTTTCACCTGCATCTATGGCAAGCATCCTCATGCAAGCATCCTCACTACCTCTGAGGATGCTTGCCATAGATGCAGGCGAAACGTCAGGAGAAAATGCATCTAGAACATGGCCATATAGCCTGGAAAAACCCACAACCTACAATGATATTTTTTCAGTTTTGAGAATACAGACATAATGATTTAGAAATTTAAGTCCCCCAATTCCCTTAGAGCTTTAATGCAAATTTAAATATATTACATGCTCTACTATCTATCAATTTTACAACAAGAAACAAAACTTTTGCATTCAGGATCATAGCATATGGGAGCAGGAAGCAAACCAAAAACATAATTGAGTGAACAGATGAATTATTAGCTTGCTGACAGTTTTATGAGCCTATGTATAAATGGCTCATTCTTTAGAAATTAGCATCATTACTCCCTTCAGTTCCAAGTGATTTAATACATCCTTGGTATAGAGGTACAAATGGCACATGAAGCTGGATGTGTAAGAGAGTTAAAATAAATTTATGTACAGCTTCCCCATATGTGTATAGGTCTTCTCATTCAGCAAGACACTCTGTTCCTAAAAATGAGCCTTGACTTACTGATCTGCAACATCAGTGAAAGATTTTATCGCATAAAGGTGGCAAAACTGCACTGGAGCAGGAATGTCACTCTTGGCGCCAATTCCTATAGCATGACAGCATGCACAATCCTTTGCCAGTCTGCCACTTCTCCATGATAAACCCACCCCGTACTATTGATGGAGAAATGTCCTGTCACTTCCATGGTGCAATGAGCCCATTCTGCTTCTGTCTCAGCACTGAAGTGACTTCAGGGGGTGGGATGGTCCTCCCCCTCACAATAATTCAAAATTTCAAAAGTTTTTTTTTTTTAAAAAAAACTGTTACCAGAATTGCGATATAGCTTTTCCCAAAAATTGTATTTATATAAATAAAAATGTAATGTTCGTTTGTGGGATTAATATAACTCAAAAACCACTGGATGAATTTCCACCAAATTTGGACACAAGACACCGACTACCCCAAGGAGTGGTCATCATTCAAAAATGTATATTGTCATTTGGGAGTTGTAATTGCTGGGATTTATAGTTCACCTACAATCAAAGAGCATTCTGAACCCCACCAACGATAGAATTGGGCCAAACCTCCCACACAGAACCCATGACCAACAGAAAAAACTGTGTTTTCTGGTGGTCTTTGGCAACCCTTCTGACACCCCCTCATGACCCTCCCCAAGGGGTCCCAACCCCCAGGTTGAGAAATGTTTGTGGAGAGAACTGCTGAGGTTTATGAGGCTATGAGAAAGAGTGTGAGTCTACAAGGAAGAACAACATTTTAGCACATCTTTCTCCCGCCTGAGGTGTTAATTAAAATACTTTTACCGTTTGAATTCCATGGGCTAGTATTGAAATAAGCTGAGTAAAAAGAGGGAGAAGGAGAGAAAAACCGGGACTTTTTAAATGCATCCTGAAGAGTGGAGTGACAGAGGATTAATTAGGACTGTCCTCACAAAACTGGGACAGTTGGAGTGTACGAGACATTGGGGAATGTGAGCAGCATTTTCCACCTTCCTGTCTGTATCTTGTGAAGGGGTAAATTGTGATGGGACAATTCAAAGCCTTACAGACAGCTCTCTTTGAAGAAAGCTGGGTGTCATAATACCAGGGCTCTGCCTTATTCAGGTAGAGATGAACCAAACAAACTCCCAGTTTGTGTTAAACAGTTTAATTAAAACAGCACTTACTTCCAAAATATAAAACATAAAGATAGCGGATGGCTAGAACGGTTTTAAATGCTGTATTTTAATATTTTGATAAATATTTTTTTAATATTATATATTGTATGTGAATCTGTGTCCCAGAATTGAATGTTTGCCATGTATATGCTGTGCTCCGCTCTGAGTCCCCTTTGGGGTGAGAAGGGCAGAATATAAATGTTTTAAATAAATAAATAAATAATAGCACTCAGCCACAGAATAAACAAAAACTGACAGCAAACATTGTTGCAGGTTCAAGATAACATGATAGTCAAAAGGTCCAGTCCAGTGGTCAAATGCCAAGAGTTCAATGAACAAAATCCAGGAATCAAGTGTCTATACCATAGTCAAAAGCCAGTCCAAAGATTCAAGGTTTCAGGGTTCAAGAGACAGGTCAGGATACAGAAAATCCACAAACCTGGGGAAAAACCAGCAGCATCTACCACCAAGATAAGAAAATACTTTTCTCCCAAAGATCAGTCCCAAGGCTAGATCCTTATATCCAGAAACACCCAGCTGCAGCCTATCTCTTGCATACCTCCACTCTTAATTGCTTTCACCATGAACTCTTACTTACAGATTACTCAACCCTTTCGAACTAAGACTTACATTAACTCTTCCATCACCAACTGCTAGGTCTAACACCACTAACAACTGCAGAACATGAGACACGACACTGGAAGACACAGTGCTGTGATGTGTTCCAAGGCTTTAGCGAAATTTCAAGACTGGTTTCCTCTGGAATGAGCAGTCAAAAGGAGAGTATAGCAGTGGTGAGACAACATAGGTTTTCTAGATGGCAAATTGACTGCTTGTACCTCAGAAAACCAGACAGATCTCCTGCCACATCACTCAAGACGTTTTAAAGCTTATGGTTGCAAACCACGTATGCTCAAAGGACTCAGTCTCCTCCCTCTAGCACTGCCTAGGTTTAAACCAAAAAGCAAACAGATAAATAAACAAACAAAAAAACAAAACAAAAACAAAACAAAAGTCACCATATTTGTCCGTCCTAGCACAATTGTAATAATTCTAGAATGGTACAGACTGAATCCAAAGGTAGGCTTGAAAGCTACATTGTAATTACATTAAAATGCGCTCCCTCCCTGCAAGCATAATAACTTTAATAGCATGATCAAAATGAAAGTTATAAAACAGAATTTAGTGCCCAAGTGAAATGGCAGCAAATCACATTGTTCACAGTTATAACTGTCCTTCACGCTGGGTTCAAAATTAACAGCCACTATTCAAGGTTTCTGGTAAACAGATGGGATATACTGCCTCACTGTGCACAGCAGTGGGAAAAAGAATAAAAACCGTGCTTTAAAAATACTTGAACAACCAAGATAGTGTTGGGTTGCTCGCATGCTTCCCACATACAGTACCCTGCCTGAATTCCCATGGATGGTTGTGAGATTTGAACAACCTCCTCCCCACTGTGGATTGCCTTTTGAGCCTTAGGTGTGGGAATTCCCAACTTTAAATCATTCTGCCTTGGGTCCATGCTGGGTAGTGATTCCACCAGCTTGAAGGGTTTTTGTAATATTATTTGATTTAGAAATATTGAAATAAAATAGTACAACAGTTCAAATATATCACCTCATGCCACTTGCAGAGGCATTTAAGCACCATATTCCAATTTTCTTTTTGGACACAGAGATAACCGTTGAGACTATGAATAAATACAATTAATTTTTCAAAAGCTCTGGTGAAAAGCAATATAGAGATCATTCTTTTGTAGCGAACACAATAAATTTGTCATAATTATTTCCATATGTGGAGCTCATGCCTTCTAAGATTTCACAGATAAAAACCAAGTTACCATATATACTCGAGTATAAGCCGACCCGAATATAAGCCAAGGCACCTAATTTTACCACAAAAAACTGAGAAAATGGATTGACTCGAGTATAAGCCGAGGGTGGGAAATGCAGCCACTACGGGTAAATTGCAAAATAAAAATAGATACCAATTAAGTTACATTAATTGAGGAATCAGTAGGTTATATATTTTGGTAATTTAAGATAAGACTGTCCAACTCTGATTAAATGATTATTTTCCTTCTTCAATGTTAATGTGCTTATATATCCTTCCAATTATAATAAAGAGAGCAACATAAGAAATGTAATAATAACAATAATAAAAAGAGTAAAATAATTAATGTAGCAATAACAATTATACAGTAAAATAATAAATGTATAATAATAGCGTAAAATGATAAATGTAATAATAATAAATAGAATAAAATAAATAATAATAATAATAATAATAATAATAATAATAATAATAACAGAGTAAAATAATACATAACCTTGACTCGAGTATTAGCCGAGGGGGACTTTTTCAATGTAAAAAAAGGCTGAAAAACTAGGCTTATACTCAAGTATATACAGTATGTTTGACCAAGGAATATGAGAGTGTGTTCAAGATGGCAAATGTTATTAATGAAGGAGAACAGAAAAACTGCAGTGGTTTGTTTTTGGCCAATTTTACTGGAAAGGGCAAAATCTCACCAAAATCTCCATTCTTCCGCTCTTGAGTGAATTGAGCATGAAATGAGAGCTCACTGAATGGCACATTCAGACAGATTAAAAACCAGCAATGTCCCAGATATTGTTTCTGTTCTTAGCGATTTTTAATTTGGAGATCTATGCATATTTTGCTTATCCCAGAACATTTTGTGTCAACTCCTGATACACTCAGGGCCCTTCCACACAGTCATATAACCCAGAATACCAAGGCAAATAATCCATAATATCAGCTTTGAACTGGGTCATCTGAGTCCACACTGCCATATATTCCAGTTCAATGTGGCTTTTATTCACTGCCATATAAAGTCCATATTATTTGCTTTAAACTGGTTTATATGGCAGTGGAGAATCATATAATCCAGTTCAAAGCAGATGTGGATTTTTGCCTGGATATGCTGGATTATATAGCAGTGCAGAAGGGGCCTAACTGGGCTCGTTTCATCCAGTCTGGAACTACCCTGCCATATAATCCAGATTTTTTTTGGTCGTGTCAGGAGAGACTTGAGAAACTGCAAGTTGCTTCTGGTGTGAGAGAACTGGCCGTCTACAAGGATGTTGCCCAGGAGATGCCCAGATGTTTTGATGTTTTACCATCCTTGTGGGAGGCTTCTCTCGTGTCCCCGCATGAGGAGCTGGAGCCGAAAGAGGGAGCTCATTCGTGCTCTTACCGGATTCGAACCTGCGACCTGTTGGTCTTTAGTCCTGCCGGCATAGGGGTTTAACCCACTGTGCCACCAGGGCAGATTATTTGCTTTGAACTGTTTTATATGGGGCACCATCTCCACTGCCATATAAAATTCATATTATCTGCTTTGGACTGGATTATATGGCAGGGAAGACTCAAATAATCCACTTCAAAGCGGACAATGTGGATTATCTGCTTTGATAATCTGGATTATCAAAGCACCGGGAGCCCCTGGTGGAGCAGTGGGTTAAACCCCTATGCCGGCAGGCACGATAAAAAAAAATAATCTGGATTATATGGCAGTATAGATCCAGCCTGAGTCTACACTGCTATATAATCCAGTTCAAATAAAATAATCTGGATTTTATAAGTCAGTCAAAATGGGCCCATAGTGCATACACCCAAATTCCGGATGTTATTGCCCGAGAAACTGGATTTACTCCACTTCACATTTTGTCATATGAAAAAAACCTATCTGTTCAGATAGGCAATTTATTCATGGTTTTCTTCTATCTCTGTTTATTATTATTATTATTATTATTATTATTATTATTATTATTATCTTTATTTGTACCCCGCTAGCATCTCCCGAAGGACTCGATGCGGCTTACACAGGCCGAAGCCTCAGAACACAATACAACAAAACATAACACGACAATAAAACAAAAGCAAATCAAAATAGTTAAGCAGAATAACAACAACAATGACAATACATCAGGACACTTTAAAACTGGGCCGGCCAGAGCAATGGGGTACAGGGTTAAAAGTGCTGAAATGGCAGGAGGCACGTAGGATTAAAATAGTGCGGTGTGCAGCAATATTAATTGTACTAAAGTGCTTCTAGGACTTGGGATGGGGAATTCCTAATCTGAGAAGGCACATCGGAACAGCCAAGTTTTTAGGTTCTTTCTGAAAGCTGCTAAAGTAGGGGCCTGTCGAAGATCTTTTGGAAGGGCGTTCCAAAGTCGGGGGGCCGCCACAGAAAAGGCCCTGTCCCGTGTCCCCACCAAGCGCGCTTGCGACGTGGGTGGGATCACGAGCAGGGCCTCCCAGATGACCGGAGCGAGCGTGTGGGTTCGTAGATGGAGATGCGGTCACGCAGGTAGGGTGGTCCCAAACCGTTCAGGGCTTTGTAGGTGAGCACCTGCACCTTGAATTGGGCTTGGAAAATAAATGGCAGCCAGTGGAGCTCCTTAAACAGAGGGGTAGACCTCTCTTGATAATGAGCCCCGGTTAGCATCCTGGCTGCTGCCCGCTGGACCAATTGAAGTTTCCGAGCCGTCTTCAAGGGCAGCCCCACGTAGAGCGCATTGCAGTAATCCATTCTAGAGGTGACCAAGGCATGGACCACCCCGGCCAGATCAGCCTTCGCGAGGTACGGTCGCAGCTGGCGCACAAGTCTCAATTGTGCAAAGGCCCTCCCGGATACCGCCGACACCTGAGCCTCAAGTGTGAGCGAAGAATCCAAGAGGACACCCAAACTGCGGACCTGTGGCTTCAGGGGGAGTGTAACCCCGTCCAACACAGGTAGCCACCCTATACCCCGATCCGGTTTACGATCGACCAGGAGGACCTCTGTCTTGTCAGGATTGATCTTCAGCTTGTTCCTCCTCATCCAGATCGACACAGCAGCCAGGCACTCGTCCAGCACCCGAGAGGCCTCCTTGGAATTAGGTGGAAAGGAGTAGTAGAGTTGTGTGTCATCCGCATAAAGATGGCACCCAACTCCAAAACTCCGGATGACCTCTCCCAGCGGTTTCATGTAGATGTTGAAAAGCATGGGCGACAAAATAGAGCCTTGCGGGACCCCACAGGTCAAAGGCCAGGGGTCTGAGCAGGCGTCACCCAGCTTCACCATCTGGGTTCGTCCCTCGAGGAAGGACCGGAGCCACGACAAAACCGCGCCCCCGAGGCCCATCCCAGAGAGACGACCCAGAAGGATACCATGATCGATGGTATCGAAAGCCGCTGAGATGTCCAAGAGAACAACAGAGTCACACTCCCCCTGTCCAGCTCTCTGCGGAGGTCATCCACCAAGGCGACCAAGGCTGTCTCGGTGCCATGACCAGGCCTGAAACCAGACTGTGACTGATCTAGGTAGTTGGTATCGTCTAAGAAGCTCTGAAGCTGGGAGGCGACCACCCGCTCCAGCACCTTACCCAAAAAAGGGAGGTTGGAGATTGGCCTGTAATTGCTCAGCACCGTGGAGTCAAGGGAGGCCTTTTTGAGGAGTGGACGAACCACAGCCTGTTTCAAACCAGATGGAAAAATCCCTTGCTTATGATAATTTATAATTTTAATGAATTTTACTACATTTACTTGCTGAAAGCAAACTATGAATGGTATGTGCACAGAAATAACTTCTTTCACAAATGAAATCTAGACTGTGTTCCCCATGCTTACAGTTAAGCAAGCAAGAAAGAACATACTTGTTTACCACAACTTTAGAGTTTTGCGTTGCGTTATTTGATCCTAAAATGGCTTCACGTGTGAAAATGGTCCTCATAAAAAGTTTTCTGACGTAATTGTTCCAAAATCTGTTTCTTTCAGCTCCTGTTATTTCGTTGTCACCTCAAGATACCCAGAATTTCACAGGAAACGATGTCATTTTTGGCTGTGAGGTCTCTGCTTATCCCATGCCACACCTTGAATGGAAGAAAAAAGGAAATAAAATGTTTCTGCCAGGAGATGATGCTCATATTTCAATACAGGTGTGATTTTAAAAATATATATGCTTGGGTCCCTTCTGAGAGAAAGACAAGCTATAAATAAATTAAATAAAGATGCAAGAAAATAAATAAACAAATAAATGATGGGACCAATTTCTTTTCTGCAAGCTACCGGGAGAGTTGGAAACTTTTCCTTTCACAACAAAAAATGTAGCAGTTTACAGTTATATATCTCTCTATGGGCATTTCCTGGCAGGCCCTATATCTCAGGATCTGATCCCAGGTTTTCTGTTTATCCAAGATTATCTGGCAGTGTGGACTCATATAATCCAGTTTGATGCAGAAAACCTGGGATCAGATCCAGGGATATAGGGTCTGCCTGGAAGGACCCTATCTCTCACTCACATCTTTGTTGAAAAAAGTAAGCCATCAGATTTGAGGAGTCAGAACTGCAGTTTTAGACATCAGTCAGCCCTGGTTAGTAATTTGATGGGATACTGACAAGAAATACCTGGTAATGGAGGCTACATGTCAGAGGAAGGCAATGGCAGAACTAAAAGTGATAGATGAAGACACATCAATATCAGTACACAAGGAACTAGGAAATCAGGGAAAATATAATTTTAGCTAATTTTTAAGAGTTTATCAAAATTTAGACATTTATCTTTTTTATTTAGTTTTTATTGTGCATATAAATAATGTATACAGCAAAATTTAGAAATTTATCTTGGCTTGGAAAAGTTACTTTTTGTGGACTATTATTCCCAATCTCCGCAGCCAAACTCTGGAGGGATTTGCTGTGCCCAACCTAATGAAATAAGTACAAGGAAGCCCCTGGTGGCGCAGTGGGTTAAACTGCTGGGATGTTGAACTTGCCAACCAAAATGTCAGCGGTTTGAACCCGGGGAGTGGGGTGAGCTCCCACTGTTAGGCCCAGCCTCTGCCAACCTAGCAGTTTGAAAACATGCAAATGTGACTAGTCAATAGGTACTGCTTCTGCGGGAAGGTAACGTAGCTCCATGCAGTCATGCCGGCCTCATGACCTTGCAGGTGTCTATGGACAACGCCGGCTCTTCGGCTTAGAAATGGAGATGAGCACCACCCTCCAGAGTCGGAATCGACTCGACGTAATGTCAAGGGGAAACCTTTACCTTTTTTACATGACTAGAAGATTACTTTCTACATATTTACCATTTGTCTTTATTTTCTCAGGCAAGAGGAGGCCCCCAGAGATACAGTGTGACTGGATGGTTACAAATCCAAGGAATCAGGAAATCAGATGAAGGTGTCTATGTATGTGAAACAAAAAATAAATATGGGTTTGCCTATTCATCTGCAAAGCTGAAGGTTATTGATGGTACGTTCTTGTATTTACATACCATATTTAACACGGTTTGCTTAATGATGTAACTGTAACCCAACTGGCTCATTTTTAATCTAAACCAGTGTATTTTACAAGTAGCTTTCACTGTAAATTGCTTGCTGGTTGTGGGTGTTGCAACACAGGGGAAGAAAGTTCCAAGATGTAATGTGAGTAGTAGCGTACAAGCAAATACCGAATTTACTTGAATCTGGGGCCCCTACGCTGCCATATAAAATCCTGGTTATCTGCTTTGAAGTGAATTATTTGGCAGCGTATACTCATATAATCCAGTTCGAAGCAGATAGTGTGGATGATCTGATTTGATAATCTGGATTATGTGGCAGTGTAGAAGGGGCCTGAAGCCCACTTTTTTGGCTAAACAATCTCTCCAAATTTAGGGTGCGCATTAGATTAGCATCATACAGTAATCACACCCTGATTATTATTTTTTTTACTAGAATCTCAAGGACCACAAATGTGAACTTTTCTGAGCTCAGGAATTCATTTTGGGCATCAGGAATGAACACAGAGTTGTTGTAGGTTTTTGGGGCTATATGGCCATGTTCTAGAAGCATTCTCTCCTGATGTCTCACCTGCATCTGTGGCAAGCTTCCTCAGAGCATCCTCACAACCTCTGAGGATGTTTGCCATAGATGCAGGTGAAACATCAGGAGTGAATGCTTCTAGAACATGGCCGTATAGCTCAAAAAATCTACAACCCAGTGACTCTAGCCATGGAAGCCTTTGACAATACAAGGAATGAACACAGCTCATAGTTATTCCACACACAGATCCTCCCCTTACTATGGCAAACACTACTTATTTTAGTGGTACGGTTTGGGATTAGGGGATTATGCAGTGTCATTTTGCTGTTGATGTTGCTAAATTATTGAAAATCAGATATAAATTCTTGCCCAATCATACAAAGAACTAATCTGGCTGGGAATATGATGGGAATCCAAAATATTTGAATGGTATCTTACAACAGAAAGATGTCCTTGCCTATCCGCTGCAAACTACCTAGGGCAGCCATATAACTCTGAATATCAAGGCAAAAAAAAATCACACAATATCTGCTTTGAACTGAGTCCACACTGCCATATAATCCAGTTCAAAGCAGAAGATGTGGGATTTTATTCAGCTGTGTGGAAGGGCCCCCAGACATCTATTAGTAGATCCAGGTATCTTTCAATGGAGTTGCAGTGGCATATGTCCAAACTAGACTATTATATATCATCAACCTGATAATCTCCAATTCAGCAAATGGATGAGTTTTTTCTGAGTTTTTCTAGATTTGTATTGTCTTAAAACATTTTATTTAACGTTAAAATTGTATCAGTTGTTCTTCTCTCCCTGTGTCCCTGTCTGCATGCAAGAACATCAAGGCAGAAAACCCCACATTATTTAAATGTGGACTCAGATAACCCAGTTCAAAGCAGATCTTGTGGGATTTTCTGCCTTGATATTCTGGGATATAGTGCTGTGTGGAAGGGCCCTGTGTTATACTGAAGCAGACCAATAGTCCTGTAATGCAGGGGTAGGAATTGTATAGCATTTCAATCCCGTTACATTACAACTCTCTGCAGCACTGACCAACATATGTTTCCAAGGACTGCTGGGACCTATAGGACATTATTGCACAAAGTTGCCAACCCATGGTATTCATGCAATCAATGATCCTGGGAACTTACCAAGATGGTCACGTTCATTACTACATCTGCTCATGATCATGAAACAATGTCACTTCACTGCCCCTTGATCCCATGTTCAGGCTTCCTGTTAAGAAGGGAAATCTGCCCTCCCACAATTCTGTATTTTCAATAGGGATTTTTCTTTTTTCTTTTTGTAAAATAATAATAATAATAGTAATAATACATTTTATTTATATTCCATTCTATCCCTAAGGAGACTCAGAGCAAATTACAGTATACACATACGAGGGTTGAATGAAAAGTAATGCCTCCACTTTCGATGCTTGGGTTTGGATAGGAATATTTTAATAAATCAAACGCAGAAATAACCCTTAGAATGTGCTCTTTAACTACCACTATTCACTTTTCCACATAATCACCAGACAATTGGATACATTTCTGCCAATGATGAACAACTTTTCTGAAGCCGTCACAGAAGAAGTCAACACTCGGTTTCCGCAACCAGAGACTCACAGTTCTCTCAACTTCTTCATCAGAAGCATAATGATGTCCCTGCAGATGTTCTTTCATTATCGGGAACAGATGGAAGTCAGACAGTGTGCTAAATCTGGGCTGTATGGAGGATGTCGTACAGTGGTGAGATCCAGTCTCTGAAGTTTCAAGTCTGTGCACTTTCACTACCAGCATCCTGGGTACCCATCGTGCACAGATCTTCTGATAGCCAAGCAAAGCAATAATGTGACCCACACATTCTTATGAAATGCCAATTATGCTTGAAATTTCTCTCTGAGTGATACGACGATCGTCCTGAATCAATCTGTCAACGTTTTGCTTGTGAAACTTGGTGGTTGCTGTCAAAGGACATCCAACTTTTTGTTTGTCACGCAAGTCAGATGTTCCCACCTCAACACCTTTAAACTTACTCGCCCAATGACACACAGTACTCACATCAACACAATCACCATAAACAGCTTGCATTCTCTGATGAATCTCCTTTGGGGTGACACCTTCTGCTGTCAAGAATTCAATGATTGCACGTTGCTTAAGTCTCATTGACCGACCATCTGCGCAGGGTTCCATACTTTGCATTTTAACAACACAACTGTTCAATGCTAAGGCTTACTGCCAAAATGGAACTGTAGAGGAGAGTCTACTGAACAAGCCAGTACCTGCCGCATACCAGTACTGCCATCTGTTGAAGAGTTACGAAGGTGGAGGCATTACTCTTAATTCAGCCCTCGTATATAGGCAAACATTCAATGCCTTTTATACAGTGAACAATGACATACAATACACAAACAAAGGCAAAGGTTTCCCTTTCTATCTCCGGCATCTGGAGGCAATGCTCAGCTCTGGCCATGGTTGAGGTGCTCTTGTCCCATTTTCTATGCCAAGGAGCCTGTTGTCCATAGACCCTCCTGTTCATGTACTGCAGGGTGCATTTTTACCTTCCCGCTGAGGCGGTACCTATTGATCTACTTACATTACATGCTTGCCAACTTCTAGGTAGGCAGAAGCAAGGGCTGACTGTGGGAGCTCACCTCGACTCGTGACTTCGAACTGTCAACTTTCCAGTCAGCAAGTTTTTTGCAGCTAACAGTTTAACCCACTGAGCTATCGCAGCTCCTTCAAAAAACCTCATTATTTAGCAAAGTTAAGTAAAACAAACCTGCTATGCTAATATATAATATATTGTATATACATATATTTATAATATTATAATGTAATACAGTATAATACTGATACTAATAATAATATGATATTATAATTATATATTTTATATTACATGTAATATTATTACATGTAACAATATTACAATATAATTGTATAGTACAATATAGTGATGTATAACGCTGAGCGCTGATATTGTACTGTGCTAATGGTACAATGTATTGTGTGTGTATTTGTGACGTTTACATATATCTATACCTATATCTATATCTATATATATCTTGTAAGCCGTTCTGAGTCCCCTTTGGGGTGAGAAGGGCGGCATGTAAATGTTGCAAATAAATAAATAATAAATAAAATCCTCCCCCCCCCCAAAAAAAAATCATTGGATACTGGGAGAAGGAGTGTGCAAGAGGGAGAGAAATCAATAATATTTCCCCTTGATATCACATCTATGCTAGTGTGCTAGGACAGAAGCCCTTGACCGTACTGCATAAGTCCGAGGACCATGTTACTATTAAGCAGTATTGACAGGTTTTACGAATTAACAGCCAGGGGTAGCTTTGTCCTGCTTTTATAGCAATAAATTCTAGTTCGTCACATCTGTATGAGAAAATCTGTAGTCTAATAACATTTGTAAACTACATTACTTCTACCACTTGTCTATTCCAGTTGGTTACAGTTGTCTAAGGCCACTTCCACACAGCCATCTAACCCAGAATATCAAGGCAGATAATCTACAATATCTGCTTTGAACGGGATTATCTGAGTCCACACTGCCATATAATCCAGTTCAATGTGGATTTTATGCAGCTGTGTGGACGGGGCCTACGATCAGCTTCAACGCACTCTGTCTTCCAAGTCCAGTATACAAGATCCTTTTATCTATTGCTGCAAAAGACTGAACTTGTAATATTCTACAGGCAATGCCAAATTAACAGAATTACTACTACTTATATCTACTTTGCAGATTCCTCATCCTTTCACGATATCCCTGGCAGCTGGATGACTAGTGCCAATGCGGATTACGGAGACTCTTTTGACTCTGTTGAAGAAGAAGACGAAGAAGTAGAGCATGCATCTTCTGGGGACTATGCTAAATGAAAGAAGTGCAACCCTTCTATTAGGGTTTACTTCTTTCATGTTCACTGTTCTACAACCTCAATTTGTATTACATTCTAAAAAAGACCAGCATCAAGCAACCAAAATAACTAGATTTTTGTATTGGGTTAGCATAAAATTTACGGGTTAGCGTAAGGCTTATCACACTGTCTCAGCTGGATCTATTTTGTAGGGTTGTTGTAAGGAAAAAAAGTCGAGTGTCGTATAAATTCAATAAATATAACTAAGAAATTAAAAATAAATATATTCAATTTCAATAGCATTATTTATTTATTTATTTATTTCTGGTATTTGTACCCCGTCACTTCTCTACCCCCAAAGGGGGTACAATGGCTTACAATGGGCACCGATATGATGCCACTACATAACAATTACAATAATAAAACCACAATTGAACATAGATCATAATTAAAACAATACATCAGCAATCATTAAAACAGTAAAACAGTCTTATCGGCCGTATCGCCGTTCCAGTCAATGTCCCTCTAAAGTGCTGCATACATCTATTGTCCGAAAGCCTGGTCCCAAAACCATGATTTTAATTTTTTTCTGAAAGCCAGGAGGGAGGGAGCATATCTTACCTCATTTGGGAGTGTGTTCCATAGGTGTGGGGCCACAGCCGAGAAGACGCTGTCTCTCGTCCCCGACAGATGCATTTGTGCTGTTGACGGGAGCGAGAGCAGGATGATCTTAGATTATGAGGTGAGACATAGGGGTGGATGTGTTCGGACATGTAAGCTGGGCCAGAACCGTATAGAGCTTAATAGGTCAAAACCAGCACTTTGAATTGGGCTCAGAGATGGACTGGCAGCCAGTGGAGCTGACATAGAAGGGGGTGGTATGTTCCCTGTATGTTGCCCCGGTTTGTAATCTGGCTGCTGCCCGTTGGACTAACTGAAGTTTCTGCCCCTGTTGCCACTCGCTGATTGCCATGGGATTTTTTGTTGGTTTGTTTTCATTTTTCTTGGAAAACGCCTGTGTGAGAGGTTTTTTTTTAATGTGTAGGGGTTGGTGCTCATAGTCTTCATAGAGTGAGGTCCCATCTAGTGGCATGGTTAACAAAACAACGGTGGCTTCTCAATCTGTTGCAGCTTTCTTCCACCTTCACAGCCATTGTAACATGTACCATATTATCCTCCGCCTTCTCCGCCATTGAGGTCTTTGGGTCTTCGGACTGTGCTTGTTCTGGAACCTCCCCTGCGTCCACTCCTGGGAGTGCATGACTCCAGTCATTGTGCCCGCAGGTTCACTGGGACATGTAAGTCCCCTCACCACACAAGGTGACAATTCATTGAGGGGAAAGCATGGGAATGTAGTGGGATAGGGAGCTATTGACAGGTTTAACCCATCAGTTAAAAGGCAAGGATGGATCATGGGACGGGAGGAGGCAAACCAATAGTAGGAGGCACTTCGCATAGGGTAATGGTTCAGTTGCAATGCTGGTGTGCCTGCCTCATGTGATAAAGTCCTAACTTTTTAGGAAGTAGATATAAATACTCTGGATCATGGGACGGGAGGAGGCAAATCAATAGTAGGAGGCACTTCACATAGATTAATGGTTCAGTTGCAATGCTGGTGTGCCTGCCTCATGTGATAAAGTCCTAACTTTATAGGAAGTAGATATAAATACTCTGGATCATGGGATGGGAGGAGGCAAATCAATAGTAGGAGGCACTTCACATAGAGTAATGGTTCAGTTGCAATGCTGGTGTGCCTGCCTCATGTGATAAAGTCCTAACTTTATAGGAAGTAGATATAAATACTCTGTATTCTCACAGAGCAATGGCAACAAATGGATGACAATAGTGTACATCACGTTATATGGTCAGTTATATAAAATTTCAAGCAGTAAATACACAGCAAAACAGTTGGAGCCTGCAGCTAACCTCAAGTATAGGGATAAAACTCTACATTTGTTATCTACTAGTTCCGCAAAGTCAGTCCTTATTAATGAATCTAGATTTGAAGTGAAAACACCCCAACTCAGAATTGTTCATAAGAATAATTGATATTAACTGTCTCTTGTATGAAACGTATTATTTAACGTGTACTTACTCTCTCTCTAGTGATACATACACACATATACAAACTCCATCAGCTTAGACTTTTTATGTCTGAGATCTGAGGATGCCTGCTATAGATGTGGGTGAAACGTTAGGAGAGAATGCTTCTGGAACATGGCCATACAGCCCGGAAAACTCATAACAATCCAGTGATTCCGGCCATGAAAGCCTTCGACAACACAGTATTGTTGTTGTTGTTGTTATTCTAAAAATATTACTCTCTTCTACACTGCCATATAAAATCCAGATTACCTGCTTTGAACCGGATTATAGAAGGGGCCTGAGTCTACACTGCCATGTAATCTAGTTCAGAACAGATAATCTGGACTTTATATGGCAGTGTAGATCCAGCCTGTGTATCGCTCCCTAAACTGACAATCCCAACACTCTACGTCAGATAAAATATAATAACAGTTTATAATGTGGGTATTCTCATTGGGAAACATTTAGGTGTCAGACTCAGATCTTATTCCCACAAAATTTAGTCCATTAAAAACATATTGGCTTTTTATTTTTTATCATTCCTTTTGATTATACTATTTTACTCTTCTTGCTGTCTGTTAACATTCCTGCTATTTGGGTTGATTGGTTCTGATGGTGATGTCTGTGCTTTTAATTGTTTTTATTTTTAATGTTTGCAAACCTTCCTGAGGGTGTTTGTCGGTTGGTCCATAAATAAGCATTTTAGATAAATCAAAAAGGAAATGTAAAATTCAAGCAAATCAGACACTCCTGCGCTTCTTGATGCCATTTGACAGCCTCGGTGATATGACTCCTCAATCTTGGCAAGGTGGCTACATCAGTACCTGACTTCTCATTTTAGGATAGATTCATGACTTTGAATTTTCTTTTCATCTTCAACGTTAAAAAATACACATGAATGCTAATGCACACCCATACATTGCGACAAAGGTAAGACAATTGCAAAAACATTTTAAAAATTCAAAGAAAGATTCTGTATCATGTTGGTAAGATGGCTAATGTTGAATTATCTGGCAGTGTAAGTAAAGCTAAAGATTTCCCCTGACATGAAGTCCAGTCGTGTCCAACTCTGGAGGATGGTGCTCATCTTCATTTCTAAACTGAAGAGCAGGCGTTGTCCGTAGACGCATCCAAGGTCACGTGGCTGGCATGACTGCACGGAGCACTGTTATCTTCCTACTGAAGCGGTACCTATTCATCTACTCACACTTGCATGTTTTTGAACTGCTAGACTGGCAGAAGTTGGGCCTAACAGCAGGAGCTCATCCCGCTCCCCAGATTCAAACCGACCTTTAAGTTCAGCAACTCAGCGGTTTAATCCACTGCACCACCAGATTAGATCCAGCCTAGTTTGGATATTGTATAGCAATGTAGCTGGGGCCTGGGTCCAGCTATAATCCTTTTTGGAGCAGGATGTCAGCGAATCCAACAGAAGATACTCCCATTAATGATAATAACAATAGTAATAATAATACTAGGAGCATCTTCTGTTGGATTCGCAGATTTATATTCGGTTGGATATGTATTATTATTAATATATTAATAGTAATATAAATGAATATAAATAATAATATATAAATAGAAATCTATATAAATAAAAATTTAATGTTCGTTTGTGGGATTAACAGAACTCAAAAACCACTGGACGAATTGACACCAAATTTGGGCACAAGACACCTAACAACCCAATGTATGTCCTTCACTCAAAAAATTGATTTTGTCATTTGGAAGTTGTAGTTGCTGGGATTTATAGTTCACCTACAATTAAAGAGCATTCTGAACTCCACCAGCGATGGAATTGAAACAAACTTGGCACACAGAACTCCCATGACCAACAGAATATACTGGAAGGGTTTGGTGGGCAGTGTCCTTTGATTTTGGAGTTGTAGTTCACCTACATCACTGTTGTGCTGTCATGCRCTGGGCCTGTCTTTTGAACAGGACATGCTCTTTGTGCCCAGCGGGAAGCCGGGTTGCCTTGGCTGAGAGACCCTAAGGATTTTCCTATACAAAAGTCTTTAGATGCTTGAAAAGTTTAACAAAGTCCTTTATTATTGCTTAGATCTTCAACAATTTAAACACTTCTCAGATCTTCAACAAGTCAAATGCTTCTTAACTTGCCCAAATGGATAGGTAACTGGCTTCGTGAACKGTTTCTTTTTTTTTTTTAACAAGGAAAACACTTTTTAACCCCTCCCAGGCAATCTACTTTCTATGCTTGCTGGTGTGGGYTCTACTCCTGGCTCCAATTGCTTCTGGTTACCCAAGTAGACTTACCAGCCAAGGCTTTGTAGATTCTCTAGCTGGAGTTCCTTTGAATTTTTTCCACGAAAGATATGGAGCTGTTTCCCCCGGATGCTGTGAGAAACGAAGCTTGTCTATAGATGGAGCTGATCCACGTCTTGTAGCTAAGCTTTCCAGTATAAAACTGAACTAAAAATGGTTCCCTTTCCCTCTCAGAGCCCTGGAAAAAGGGGCGGAACCAAAACTTAACAATGATAGATAGGTGGCTAGCCCTATGACTGCAAACCAAGGGAAGTCACCTTTTGCAAAATGCATGGAACCTTGGAATGCATGCAAACACTCAATAGAAAGAAATGAATTTGGAGCTTCTGGTACAGCACAACTGTGGACTCAAACAATGATGGATCTGGACCAAACTCTACGTGAATACTCAATATGCCCAAATGTGAACACTGGTGGAGTTTGGAGAAAATAGAATCTTGATATTTGGGAATTGTAGTTGCTGGGATTTATAGTTCACCTACAATCACAGAACATTTTGAACCCCACCAATGATAGAATTGGGCCAAACCTCCCACACAGAACCCCCATGTGGGCCACAGCTAGTGGGACGGCTAGTAATAATATAAAATAAATATAAATCAGGCATGGGCAAATGTTGGGTCCCAGCTGGAATGTGTCCAGAGGAGGGTGACTAAAATGATCAAGGGTCTGGAGAACAAGCCCTATGAGGAGTGGCTTAAGAGCTGGGCATGTTTAGCCTGAAGAAGAGAAGGCTGAGAGGAGACATGAAATATGTGAGAGGAAGTCACAGGGAGGAGGGAGCAAGCTTGTTTTCTGCTGCCCTGGAGATTAGGGCGTGGAACATGGCTTCAAACTACAAGAAAGGAGATTCCATCTGAACATAGGAAGAACTTCCTGACTGTGAGAGCTGTTCAGCAGTGGAACTCTCTGCCCCGAGTGTGATGGAGGCTCCTTCTTTGGAAGCTTTTAAACAGAGGCTGGATGGTCATCTGTCAGGGGTGCTTTGAATGCAATATTCCTGCTTCTTGGCAGGGGGTTGGACTGGATGGCCCATGAGGTCTCTTCCAATTTTTTGATTCTATGAATCTATATCCCAGAAGATCAAGGCAGAAAATCCCACAGGAGTGTGGGCTCAGGTAACCCAGTTCAAAGCAGATATTGTGGTATATCCTGCCTTGATAGTCTGGGATACAGGGATGTGGAAGGACCCTTAAGCGCTCCAGGTGTTTTGGACTTCAACTCCCACAATTCCTAACAGAATTGGGGGAGTTGGAGTCCAAAACACCTGTAGGGCCTAAGTTTGCCCATGCGTGATAGAAATGAATGACTGCATGTGTGACGCCCACAGAGAGGCAGAGTGAAAAAGTGGGAGGGAGACATGGAGCGGGGGCGGGGCCTGCCTTCTCGCCCGCGCCGCCCTTTTCCCGCCTTTGGCTCGAGCCGCTTCCTCCCTCGCGCCAGGCCTGCCCTCCGCTTAGCCCCGCCCCTCCGGCTCGTGCAGCACCGCGCGAGCCCCCCCCCCCCTGCTGGAGAAGATGGCGCTGGGCGGCCAGGTTAGTGCGGAGGGGAAAGATATGGCGCCTCATTTCTTGGTCTCCTGGGTGGGGAGGGAAGGGGAGGCCGCCTCCGTGAAGGAGGCATCCCCCTCAGGTGGGGAGCCTCCCCACCCGCCTCGAGCCCGCCTCCGGAGGTTCAGGGCGAGGGAGAGAGGAGAAGAAGGAGGGTGCTTCAAGGGGGAGGGGCTTGTTTCTCTCAGCCAGGCCTGGCCCAACCTCGGCCCTCCTCCAGGTGCCTTGCTCTTCGACGCCCACCATTCCTGTTAGGAAGACACCTGGAGGGAGGCCGAAGTTGGCCCAGGCCTGCTCTAAAGTGTCACCACGGGCATTGCTCTTGTTGGCACAAGGGACAGGCAACTTTCCGAGGCCACTTGAAGTGTCCCTATCTCAGCCAGCCATGTAGACAGTTTGGGGTTTGGGACAGTTTTGGAATCCCAGGCCAGGGTGCTCAACCTGTGTTGTTTGTACACACAGGGGCCAAAGAACTTTCTAAGTAAAAGGACACACTTAAATCTCACTTTCTCAGTCACCATGGAGCCCCTGGTGGTGCAATGGGTTACCAGTGGTTCTCAACCTTGTGGGTCCCTGGATATTTTGGCTTTCAACTCCCAGAAATCCTAACAGATGGTAAACTGTCTAAAGATAAAGGTAAAGGTTGTCCCTTGACATTAAGTCTAGTTGTGTCCAACTCTGGGGTGTGGTGCTCATCTCTATTTCTAAGCAAAAGAGCTGGCATTGTCTGTAGACACCTCCAAGGACATGTGGCTGGCATGACTGCATTGTTACCTTACCGCTGGAGCGGTACCTATTGATCTACTCACATTTGCATGTTTTCGAACTGCTAGGTTGGCAGAAGCTAGGGCTGACAGCGGAAGCTCATGCCACTCGCCGGAATTGAACCTTCGACCTTTCGGTCAACAAGCCCAGCAGCTCAGTGCTTTAACCCACTGTGCCACTGGGGGCTCCTTAAACTGTCTAGGATTATTTATTTATTTATTTATTTACAACATTTCTAACCCACCCTTCTCAACCCCCAAGGGAGCCCCCAGTGGCGCAGTGGGTTAAACCCCTGTGCTGGCAGGACTGAAGACCTACAGGTCGCAGGTTCGAATCCGGGGAGGCGGATGAGCTCCCTCTATCAGCTCCAGCTCCTCATGCGGGGACATGAGAGAAGCCTCGTACAAGGATGATAAAAACATCAAATCATCCAGGCATCCCCTGGGCAACGTCCTTGCAGACGGCCAATTCTCTCACACCAGAAGCGACTTGCTCCTGACACGACCAAAAAAAAAAAAAAAAAACCCTCAAGGGGGACTCAGGGCAGCTTACATTGGCAACAATTTGATGCTGCAATATCACAATCTACAACAATATAAAAACCATAAATACACAATAGATTAAAACAATAACATTAGTTATACAGTCATAGTAGCCGTTTCCATTGTCGTAACAAGCATCATATGGTCCAATTCAGTGTCCAAAGTGCCGTTGTGCTTGCTAGCCAAAAGTCTGGTTCCAAAACCATGATTTCAGTTTTTTCCTAAAAGAAAGAAGGGAGGAGGCCGATCTGATCTTGCTGAATTTCTGGGAGTTGTAGGCCAAAACACCTGGGTGTAGATTTTTCTCACTTGTTTTCTCGCCCATGTTCTTAACCATGAGTCATTTGTAAGTTGGATGTTTGTAGCTTGGGGACTGCCAGTACCTGAATTGGCATAATGAGATTTGTCAAGAGATGAGACCCAAGTCTAAACACAAAATTCCTGTTTGATAGACATCTTATGCACATAGCCTGAAGGGAATTTCATATACAATATTTTAGTAGTTTAGAGCCTGAAACAAAGTTATGCTACATTAAACCATTAGGTGGATAATTTGCATTTTGAGATATTTTGGATTTGGGAACTCCAGATAGAGTATACTCAACCAGTGTTATCCTCATCATTACGTGTACAACTACAAAACAACTTTCTAAGGGAATGTTCATCAGTCCAGAGTCAGATGGAAAATCTCTGCAGTGAATAGAAAGTTGTATTGTCGAAGGTTTCATGGCTGGAATCACTGGGTTGTTGTAGGTTTTTCGGGCTCTATGGCCATGTTGTAGAAGCATTCTCTCCTGATGTTTTGCCTCCATCAGTGCTTCTAGAACATGGCCATACAGCCCAAAAACCTACAACAACCCTGTGAAGAGGTGACTTGAGAAAAGTGTTCATGGATTGATGAAGCTGTTCAGGATGTGCTCTTGTTGAAAAATGTTATTGCAGGTAAATGTTATTGCCCCATCTGAAATGCTTGATACCAGAAGTGTTATGGATTTTGCATGTTTTCCAGGTTTTGGTATAACTAAAATTCTATATAAGTATACAATTATGTTTTTTTAGAGATGGGATCCAAGTCTAACCACAAAATTCCTTTATGCTGTATAGGCACCTTATATACATAGCCTGAAGGAATTTCATATACAATATTTAATAAGTTTGACATGAAACACAGTTGGTGTACACTGAACTATAAGGAAGCAAAAGGTGTCAATATGTCAGCTATTTGGGTGGACAATTTTGGATTTTAGCGGATTTTGGAATTTGGACTTCATTGTTGTTGTTGTTGTGGTTGTTGTTAAACCACTACATACAAAACTACTTTCTAACAGTATACAAGGATTCACCATGCATCAGGAGGCAGGCAGAAAATTCCTGCAGTGGATGGGAAGCTATGAAGGAGGGATGAGAAAGAAGAAGTATGCATGAATTAGTGGAACTGTTTAGGATCTTGTGTTCTTGTTGCTGAAAAATGTTTATACTTGTTGAATATCTCTCATCTAAAATGCTTTGGACTTCATATGTTTGGGTCTTTGGATTTTTCCCAGAGTTAGGAAAAAATTACATATTTGCATATATGTAACTAAATATCTTGCCGATGAGATCCAAGTCTAGATACCTGATACAGCCTGAAGATAATTTTATATAAAACATTTTTAATAATTTGGGGCCCAAAACAAATTTTGTGTGCATTGAACCATCAGATAGCAGAAGTGTCTTTATCCCAGTCACCCATATGAACAATTTGGAATTAAGAGATGTCAACCTTTGTTGTTGTTGTTATTGCATGCACATTCAAAAAGCAACTTTTTAAAGGAATGGAAGGATCCACTGTGCATTAGTGCAGAATCAGGCAAAAAAATCCTGCTGTGGATGGAAAGCTATGAAGATGGGACTGGAGGAGAAAGTGTATATGGACTGGCAAAATTGTGCTCTGGCTATTGAAAAATGCTGTTAGTACCTTCATCTGAGAAATCAGGATAGCTATTTTAGCTGTTTCCCTGTAATCTAGCTAAAACCCTGCTTCCTTATAATGGCTGTATGGCTTTAATATGCTTTTATAACACACCTTGTTGTTTTGTTTCTCATCATCCCCTATCTTTGAAGGAATGCCCAGACAACCTTGAACAAAGTGACAGGAGATATAACTGCCCCAGAACTATTTTCCCCATAAAAGGAATGAGAAGAAAACTTGATTTTCATTTTGATTTACTGCAATTTCACATGCTGCCCAAATCCAGAGAGTAAAACAAATGCCACTGAAATCATAAACATTTTCTCAGTTGCTCTCAAAAGGTGCTAAAGTAGAGATTATCATAAATAAGGCAGATTTTTGTAGTAGGTCACCCAATTTTTAAAATTGCTAATTGGGTGACCAACATGATTGCCATATCTTGGTTCCTCAAATCTCCTCATATAATGTCTGTGTTATATATTGCAGTTATTCTATTAATGAAATTTGTGTCATTTTAATTGAGTCTGCAAGGGTGGAGCATTAATTGCTGCTTTTCTTCCAGTATGCTTTAATCTTATAGTAACAACTGATGTGAGAAAACCACTTTATATTAATGTTTAGAAGTGCTTGAATAGGGAGACTCAAGTTCAAAAACTTAGTCCTAGAATTTCACTATCTTTCAGCAAATCTTCTTTATGGAGTTGTGAGATTCGTAGGGAGAAGGCATGCACATCTCATTTTAGTATATTTAAGACAACAGTAACACCAGCACAGGCACTTTCAGTGGTACTCTCTTAAAATTGCTTTTTAACCATTAAGTTTTTCACTGATAGCTCCCCCCTCCCCAAAGAAGAATAAAAACACAGTGGGTGAGCCAATGCACAGGATAAAATTGATAAAACCCTGGGTGAGATAGGTAAATGGAGTAATGTGTATCTGGGGGAAAACTCGGAAGGGCGAAAAATGTGGTAGACCTTTACTAAGGGATGAGAGAAAGTGCATCAAGAGGACAGATCTGTACTGGGACGGACATGGTATGGGGATAATATGCAGATATGTGTTTAATCATCAAAGGCATGCCGGAAGAACCAGGTTAAGCCTTTCTTAAAAGCTGCCATGGTAGGGGCTTGCCTAATCTCACTGGGTAGTGAGTTCCAAAAGCCGAGAGGCCACAACGGAGAAGGCCCCCTCTCTCTCGTCCCCACAAGCCATGCTTGTGATGGATGTGAGAGTGATAGAAGGGCCTCCTCAGAGGATCGAGGAGATCGTGCAGGTTCATAGAAGGAAATGTAGGCACCAAGGTAGGCAGGTCCCAAACTGTGCAGAGCTTTGTAGGTGATAACCTGCACCTTGAATTGGAACCGGAAAATGAACAGCAGCCAATGGAGTTCCTTAAACAGTGGGGTAGACAGCTCCCTATAATTTGCTGATCTTTGGACCAATTGAAGTTTTTGGGCCGTTTTCAAGGGCAGTCCCACGTATAGTGCATTGCAATAATCCAATCTTGAGGTAACTAGGGTGTGGCCCACCAAGGCCAGATCAGACTTTACGAGGTCCGGTCACAGCTGACGCACAAGTTTTAATTGTGCAAAGGCCCTCCCAGCCACCGTTGACACCTGAGTATCGAGTGTCAGCGCTAAATCCAGGAGGACTCCCAGGCTGCAGACCTGTGCCTTTAGGGGGAGTGCAACCCCATCAAGCACTGGTTTCTACCCTATACCCCAATCAGACATGCAACTGACCTGGAGGACCTCTGCCTTGTCAGGATTAATCTTCAACTTGTTCACCCTCATCCAGATCGTCACAGCAGCAAGGCATTGGTCTATGTGAGAGGCTTCCTTGGATTTCAGTGGAAAAGAGTAGTAGAGTTGTCATCAGTGTAGAGATGGCACTGAACTCCAAAACTCCGGATGACATCTCCAGCGGTTTTATGTAGATGTTAAAAAGCATGGAGGATAGAATGGGACCTTGTGGGATCCCACAGGTCAATGGCCAGGGGCCCGAGCAGGTGTCCCCCAGCTTCACCAAATGGGAATGGTCCTCCAAAAAGGACAGGAGCCACAGCAAGGCTGTGCCCCTGAGTCCCATCCCAGAGAGCTAACCCAGAAGGATACCATGATCGATGGTATCGAAAGCCACTGAGATGTCCAAGAAAACCAACAGGGTCATATTCCCCCAGTCCAATTCTCTGCGAAGATCATCCACCAAGGCGACCAAAGCTGTCTTGATTCTATACCCAGGCCTGAAACCAGACTGCAACTGATCTAGAAAATCAGGTTCATCTAGGAACTCCTGAAGCTGAGAGGTGACCACCTGCTCTAGCACCTTGCCCAGGAAAGGAAGGTTAGAGATTGGTCTGTAGTTGTTCAGCACAGTGGGGTCAAGGGAGGTCTTCAGTATTGGTCTTACTGTCGCCTGCTTCAGGCAGGATGGAAGTTTCCCCTGGGCCAACGAAGCATTTATTATAGACACAAACCCACCTCTGGCCAGTTTAACTAGCCAAGAAGGGAAAGGGTCCAGGGCACAAGTGGTCGCTATCACAACCCCAAGTATCCCATCCACGTCATCAGGTTTAACAAAACGAAATGAATCCTATTTGCTTTTAATGGTGTCAGAACTAGTTGCAGAGTCCTTGTATGTTCTTATGAAAGTGGGGAAGAGGCTAGTCAGAAGTGCTATGCCTGTTTATCTGTTTTGATTATTGTCACTTGATAATTGTCCTTGCTACAAAGCTGTGTTACATCAATAATGAGTGTACCTTGATCTGTACTCTGTGCAGGAAGGAAAATAATAGATACCCAAAGAAATCTTTGACTGGGAACAGTGAAGCAAACATTTCACTTCATTTGAACTGCATTTAACCAGATTACATCTGTTTCATTAGTTTTGTCTTGATGCTTCAATGTGCCTGATAATAGTCAAATACCTTTCAATCTTATGGTGAGCAGATACAAACCGAATGCATTCGCATTAGTTGGCATAAAGTGTTTTGTAGCTCTTTGTTAGCATATGCTTGAGGGAGAAATGAATCAGGCCAACAAAAAATCAGGGCAAGTTATGTTTTAGCCCTTTCGCTGACAAGCGAGCAAAGATATCCTGACTTGAAATGAGCACTAAAGCGAAAACTATATTGTTGCCTGCCAAATGTGAAAGAAGTGCTGGAGATCAAACACAGCACTGAAAATATTGATTCTTACTGTTAACTTGGCCAGCTTTCCTGTTTCATTATGCTAAACATTGCTGATTTAGCTTGTCAAGGACTTTTAATCATTGGAGCACAGCTTTTCATTTTTGGAATTGACTGGGAACTTGTTTTTTTATACACATATACTGTCAGTGCCATAATATTCATCCTGTGTGAGAAATAAATGAATTACTCTACATACTCATATATAAATTGAAGAAAGAAAGAAAAACACCCTTCAAAATCTGAGTCACCTTATATGTGGGTCAATGCTAGAATAGGAACACATATGGATTATGCTAGAATAGCAAGAAGTCAGTAACTAGAAGCAGTATTGACAAGTATTGTGGGACCCTCTACTGCCATCCTCTATTAGTAATAACATGAGTGGGAAACCTTTGACCCTTCAGGTATTCAGACTTGAATACCCAAAAATATCAGTCATCATGGTCAATTGAGTCTCTTTATGAAGAGAAAAGTGGGATATAAATCAATGTAAACATAATTATAAGCCTTACCATCCAAAATATTGAGGGCAGGGTTCATGACTACTGATCTAGGAAATTGCATTTCATACTTCTTTGTATCAGTGTTTATGCATTAGCAATATTATGAGAATATTGAAGAAAGGCAACAAATGGATTTTAATATCTGATTTTTTCCTGCTACAGCACACTTTGGCAGAGCTAGAAGTTCTTTGTAAACAGCTCTATGAAGGGACAGATTTAGCCCAGCGAATACAAGCGGAAAAAGTGCTGTTGGAGCTTATCAACAGTCCTGAATGTCTCAGCCAGTGCCAGCTTTTATTGGAGCAAGGAACGGTAAGTGCTTTAAACCTTCTTTTAATCTAAAACGCACATTGGTTATACCTGTTCACAAATGTTCTTCACATACCATTTTCTAGCACTATGTGCATTATCATGGTACATTTGACAATCATTTTTTCTTCTTTATATTCTTTTTTTCCCCTCTTCTACAGTAGTTCCAAAATTTCAAAACAGTAATAGATAATGTTTTCAAAATAGTAAAGAGGTCTCCTGATAGGTGAATGAAACAGAATGAATGAAGTATTTTACTTCCTTGACTGAAATGCTAAACAAATTCTGAACATGAAATACTTCAGTCCAAGTTATGATCTAGCAGATTTGATCTGTGCCTTGAAGCTGAGCATTTCTCTTTTTCCTAAAAGACATGGGAAGAGCCCTGTTCATCTGTAAAGTGTTATCACCTTTTTAGTGTTGTATTATTTGTTAGGGACACTTAAATTCTTCACAGCAGGCCATAAAGTGATCAGTATTATCTTTTTTGAGATGGAGGAGGGCAGAATGCAATAGACCTCTATCAGTTGAAACAACTCCCCTGGATGATGTTGGCAGAAAATAATACAGTCAGATTTTGTTACAGTCCCAAAATCCTAAAGCATTTTATATTGAGGAATTTGTGGTGTCTACTGAGTATTTGAAAGGAGAAAAAATGATATTAAACTATTTGAAGTGTAAACTTGAATTCAAATGTAAATTTGATGTGGTATTTATTTGCCTATCAGCTATAAAGGAGCAGCATTATTTTAGAACCAGCTGAATTCATTTTGTTTTTCAAGTTATTATTTTGCTGCCTGCCATTGCTAATTGGTATATCTGTTGAGGCTCATAGCTGGACACACCCTGTCTATGAAAGAATGTGGAAGGTGACTTTTTTCCTTCCACAATCTACCAGACACCTCCTCTCAGAATCTTTAGAGGAATGTCATTGGCCATTACAGTTGCTTTTTAGACGGCCTCTTTTGCAGGTTTTCTTTTTCAAAATACAGAAGTGCATGTCTATTCTGAGCTTCAGGGGAGACCTCTTTTCTGATTTGGAAAAAATGTGCAGGCTGAAAAAAACTGAGCTTTCTCACCCACATTTGCAGTAAAATGAGCAGTAGCACCATTGGATGGCTGTTGGAGAAATTGTTTTCATGATGTGAGGGATAATATTTTCCTAGTCTCTGTCCTTACTCAATTTTGGGATTGGTACAGAAAATGCAAGGATAAATGGAGGCAAGTGTAAAAACTGTCTTGGAGGTTACACACAGTATACGGACCAAGTTTCCTTCACCCTTCTCCTAAGAGAAATTTGTTTATTTATTTACCCTATTTATACCCTGCCTTTCTCAACCCCTAAGAGGACTCAAGGCAACTCAAGGTGAGAACTCAGTCTATTCCAGGAGAACGAGAACAAAGCAACAACACCCCTTACTTTTTTTCGTTGTGGCAGCACTTTTTGCATTTTTGACTGCTTAGGCAGGAAAATGGAGGCAGTGGCAGCCAAGGTGGCTCTTCCCCTGAGGCAGTGCTGGCGTTTTCCACTCTCTGTGACATGACCTTATTTATTTATTTATTTCAAACATTTGTATCCCGCCCTTATCAACCTCGCCGGGGGGGGGGGGGGGCTCAGGGTGGCTTACATCCGGCACAATTCGATGCCATTACATATAAATAATACATACAGTAATACATATAAAACACAGTAAATTAATTACAAATTTAGTTTTAAAATAAAAAGTACATTAATGAAAAGTGTAATAATATTGGCTGTCTAGCCTTATGTAGAGACAAATTCAGCGAGCACAACACAATCAGAAGACTTTCCATAGTCCATTTTCCATAACAGTATCATTATTACCATAGTCAATGACCTTCGACTTATCCATAGACCCTGTCAAAATCCATAATGGCCCTAAAGCATTCCCTTGGCTTTTACATGAGGTTGACTTATGCATGAGTATATATGGTAAGTAGCACAATTCACTGACAACAAGGAGTCAAACAGGATCATTTCTTTTTATAAAGTTATAATTTTGGATGCTACTTAAACAATTCTGAAATGTTCATTGTTGCACGTGTGTGAATTGTATCTATTTTTGTAGACATCCTATGCACAACTTTTAGCAGCAACATGTCTCTCCAAACTGGTGTGCAAAACAACCCCTTTACCAATACAACAAAGAATGGACATCAGTAAGTATTATTTAGGCATTTCATTTTTGGTCATTTGAATTATCACATTACTCTAATATTTAATCCAGGTGTTCAAAATAGATAATTGTAATGGCTTGGTTCTGAATTTCTTTTTATTTTTTACATGAGAATAATTGGGTGTTTGTATAAAAGTTTTTAAAAAATCTATGCTGAGATAATTAATGGAACATGTGTCCATGTTATGATTGAGCAGCTTTTTTTCTGAATACTGGCAGTCCCCAAGTTACGAACAAGTTCGGTTCTGTAGGTTTGTTCTTGAATGTGTTTGTAAGTCGGAACAGGTATATTTTTTAAAGTGTAACTCCAGCCATATAAAAGCTTTGGATAGCATAAGGGAGGGTTAACACATCTGTGATGTTTGTTTTGCTGTGTGTGCCTCTGTTCAGAAGATTCCACCTCACTTTCTATCCCTGTGATAATTGAATTTTGAAAAAACTTGGTTTGTTCTGGAAACAAGAATTTATGAGAAAGCTTCAGAGGAGACCTCTTTCCCCCATGATAACTCTTTCAGGAGTGAATTTCCCTTCCTATGGGTAGATTTCCTCTCACTTCCTCCTATCTCAGCTTCGTTCTTAACTATGAGTCGTTTGTAAGTCGGATGTTTGTAACTCGGTTCTGCCTGTATAATACAGAAGTGATTTTCATATTTCAGATGGATTTCAAACATAGAGTGTTAGATTGTGTAGTAATAAGAAATGTAAAATAATGTTTATTTATTTTGAATGTGTCAACTACAAGCTATTGTCCAGCTCCTTTAATTTCAATAATAAGATACTTGATGTCAAGGCCAATGACATGGAGATGGGGTACTATTCACCTTAAGTTGCTAGTGTAATAATCATGGGCTAGAATGCTAGATGGTGAATCAGACCTGAGACCAGTCTGAAAACGCTGACCTTAAGCCAGTATTTAAGGGCCCACCACCAAGCTCTTGGTGACAGGGGGATTTCCCCAGATTCTAGTAGCAAGACACAGGATGGCACACATCTGGCAAACTGGAAGAGGGCCCTCAAGAATTGTGATTGCTGCTGGTCGATCTTTGTATTGAGCCATCAATCCAGATCCTGGATGCACACAGCAACTGGGTAGCTGTCTTGGTGTTAAAAACTTTTAATAGCCATCAGCATATACCGACCCTCTTTGATAAAGCTAACTCATAAAATGGCATATCTGTTTACTTGGGCTTTCAGGAAAATAGAAAATATACGAGTGGCCTAGGAGCATGTGATGGAAAGGTAGCCCCAGATATTGAAAGCTTCTAACCTGTTCTAAAGTATACCCATTGATGGACCATCGGCATGAGATTTTTTCCCCCTCAACACCCATAATTTTAGACTTTCCATGATTGATTTTTAGGTCATTCTGTGAGCAATAATTTAGAAATTGCCTTAATAGGTAACGTAGTCCTGCCCTAGAGCATGAGAGCAGCAGCATCCGCATAGAGCAGTAAGGGGATTCTCCTTGTTCTGAACTTGGGCGATGTCTATTGAGGTTTGATAAGGTTTCTTCCAGATTGTTGATGAATAGTTAAACAATGTAGGGGCTAGGGTGCAGCCTTGTCTGACTGCTCTGGGCATAAATATTTGTCCAAAAAGTTTTCCCAGGTTGCCAAATGTGATCTGTAGCTTACTGTCACTATATAGGCCTAGAAGTCTTTTATCATTCAAGGTCTTTTCCATAATTTATTTCTAGAGATGGAGTTAAATGCTGATTTAAAGTTCATAAGGGCCACAAACGGCTTCCCCTGTAGGAGCTGGACATGTTTCTCAGCAAGATGAGAGAGCACTAAGCAATGATCAATAGTTGGCTAGTTCTTTCTAAATGCTGCTTGCGCCTTGGAGATTGTGTTATTTGAGTCCAAGAGGCAAGAAAGTCTTGTACACAGATAGCATGCATACAGTTTTCTCATTATTGAAAGCAGGCTAATCTGTTTGTAGTTCCCTGAATCACTGGGTAGCCATTTCTTATAAATTGGAACCACAATGGCTTGCTTCCAACTAACAAGAATTTTGCCTGTGTTATTGACCTAAGTAAATAGGACGGCTAGTAAAAGTGCCCACCAGTTTTGATGAGTTTTAATGAGTTCAGCGGGATGTGGTCATGGCCATTTGGGTAGAATTTTGAATGACGCGTACTGCGTAAGTTTATGTATATGTGTATGTGTGTATACATACACCAGCCGGGAGCTGAGAGAAGAAGAGGCTCAGAAAATATGAATATACACATTTTCCAGAGTGTCTCCCCTGCCACAATACACTAACCCAAATTGGTACAGATGGTATAAAGAGAACAAAAATGAAATAGAATCTGGAAGCGCATTCTGTGACCTTGGTCGTTCCATTTATTTATGACTTTGTTAGGCATAGTATGGAAATGCTCTGGTCAAGTAAAGATAAAAAATACTGTAGAAATCTTTTAACCTATCTGTATCAGACAAAGATATGGGAAAACTAGACAAAATAAGCTAATAGTGTCTTTCCCTAAAATACTTTTTTTTATCTCAGACAATCATAAATAGCATGAAAATAGCCGTGTTTGTATTTGGGGCAGGTGTTGCTAAACAGAGATCTGCCACTCGGCTCTATGTGTTTTCCATGGTGCCATAGTCTTTCCAATTGTTCAGCAGGACAGCTTTTTCTGCCTTTTACCCTACATTGATATCTACTCTTCTACAATCTGCTGCACACCCACAGAATTTGCTTGGGAGGTCCTTGTACTCTCTAGAATAGATTTTGGGGGTATAGAGAAGTCTGCTAGTGAGTGAACATTGGCTGCAAGCCACAGATAAGAAATGTATTTTAATATAATACAATGTTGATTTAATATTTGATGTTTTGATATAGGGAACTACATATTAAACTATGTGGCATCTCGACCGAAGCTGGCCCTTTTCGTGATTCAAGCGCTCGTTCAGGTTATTGCAAAGATAACAAAGCTGGGATGGTTTGATGTTCAAAAAGACCAGCTCATCTTTAGAGACATTATTACTGATGTTAAAAAGTTTTTACAGGTAAGAAACACTGACAATTACTTTTTGTGAAACAAAGAAAAATATTTGTATAACTAGGAGTTGCTTAAAACAGAATACTAGATAATGGGATATCATTAAGTTTGAGGTACAGCTGTGACATTCCTTCTGAAGCTAAGTTGGGCTCCATCCCTCTTGAGCTTCTGCTAGCCATTCAGGATTGTACTGGTTCATACAACTGTTGGTCCTTGGCGGTTTTCTCAATTGTTTTAGGTGCAGTCTAACAGTACTTTAACCGCCGTGGCTCAGTACCGTGGAATCCTGGGAGTTGCAGTTTAGTGAGGCACCAGCACTCTTTGACAGAGAATGCTAAAGACATTGAAAAACTGCAGTTCTTATGATTTCATAACTCTGAGCAATGGGAATTAAAAGTAGTGTCAAACTGCATTAATTCTACACTGTAGGTGTATACTGATTTCCTGCCGTTCTTCCTAGAGGGAATGATCTGCCCCTCCACCAGAAGTCCGCTTGATGGGAGAAACAGGGAAACACAAGGGATAGGGAGATTTCAGAAAAGGAGTGAGAAGAATGGGACTGCCCAGTTCTGTCACTGGCTACTCCTGCATCTCCCATGTTACACTAATGTAAAAATGGTGAAAAAACAAATTTTTGATATATTTAAACTAGTCAGTTCTTTTTGCATATATACAAGTGCCTGTGGATTTCCTTTGTGTGGTTTTTGTAGCAGAGATTTTCTTTCTCCTTTCTTCTTTACAAGAGTTTTTAAAAGCTGAGACAAAAACGTAATTAGTATTTACAAGGAGTATGGTTGCTGAGGAACCTTTACAAATTTGTTTGGAAGTGAATGGTTGCAGCAGCTAAAATATTGCAGCCAAGTGGCTGTTCCTTTCTTATCTGGCAAGTCTTGATATCCATGACACATTGTATCTTTCTGCTTGTGGCAGTCAAAGCCTCTCACACTGAGTTATTGTGGTAGAACTGTATTGCAGAGTGAACCAATGATAGTAATATGGCTAGTACCACATTACAGATACAGGAGAAGGAACAGAGTTTGACTGAGACAGAGCTGGGATCTCATTGTTGTGGAACTTCATTTGCCATCAGCCACAGGTGGCATGTTTAGGGAGGAGTAATAATGGTCCAATATCTGTATGTCCATAGTTTCCTATTGACCACTTGACACCGCATTTCTATGGCTAAAACGAGTGTAAAATCATCGGTTGTTTAATTTCATTTTATGTTGTCACTAATTTTGTATTTGTGGGAAAAACCTGATAATATATTATAGTTACTACACTTCAGAATTATTCAGAAAGTACAGTGAATTTTTTTAAGTTCTGGATTTAGTAAAAATAAACATGAGAGGAATATTGTGGCTCTTTTGTGGGAATATTTTTATTAATGCAATTTGATTTTACATTTATTATTAAAATGTTGTAGTGCAAGTCTGCAGTTTTTAATTCTTTAATAACCTCAATTCTGGCTCAAAACTTTGCTGAGTAAGATAATTTCTCTCCTGAACTGTTTTCCTTTGGGAGAGAAAAGAAAGCCACATCTCTAATACCAGGATAAAATTACCTTTTAAAATAGAAATATGGATCAGCAGTAAATTTTCAGGCATAGGAATGTGGATCATGATTCAGTGGGAAGTCATTCATGTTTAGTAAGTACTTTTGTATATGCCTGACATTGTCCTGATATCATTGGGGCACTACCCCTCTGCTTTCCCTTCTTTCTCTTTCCTTCTCCTCATACTGTTCCTCTTTTCCTTTCCTTTTCCTTTACTTTTCCTTTCCTTTCCTTCTCTGCTTTCCTTTCTTCCCTCCCTTTTCCTCCTTCCTTCCTTCCTTCCTTCCTTCCTTCCTTCCTTCCTTCCTTCCTTCCTTCCTTCCTTCCTTCTTTCCTTTCTCTCTTCCCCTTATCCCGCTCTGAGAGGGCCTTCCTCACTATGTCTCCATGGTAATACGATTCTTTCTGTGGTTCCTTCCTTCCTTCCTTCCTTCCTTCCTTCCTTCCTTCCTTCCTTCCTTCCTTCCTTCCTTCCTTCCTTCTTGCTTTTCCTCATGCCATATTTCCTTCCCAGAGGGCCACTTCACCTAGCAAAGGTACAGACAAACAGATTTTGACATTGATAGATAGATATATAGATATGTACTTGTCTTGCTGGATAAAACAAGGGGGCTAACAGCTGTGTGAAGGTATGAAGGAATGTTTTTTTTTGTCATTTCCCCCATAAGAAGAGAAGGGCTCTTTATTGTGCATTTGTAGATGTACTGCCTCTTCGTTGGTTTGTATTGAACTATAGTACACTTGATGCTTTGACCCCGAACTATCAAGTTTTTTGTTTGACAAATGAAAAGTAAGTTAATTAGGTAGCTAACTTAATTTGATTGTATTATTAGTAAGGGAGATAAAATTAGAGTGACAGTGAAGACATGGAAGTTAGCAGATAATAATAACACACACCCTTCTTTGGATAGGGCAGTTGTAGCTACAAAATAATCTTTAACAGCATTGGGAACACTGACCAAGTTGGAAATGATTTGACTTGGTCAGTGTTCCCAGCTGTTTAGGTTTATTTTACTTGTAATGTCTTGGGTGTAAAATAATGGCTCACAACTTCACATGAAACGAGAAAAAACTTTATTTTATGAGCAGTCCAGTTCTCCATTTGTCAGGGCTGAGTGCCTTTTAAGGATTTTTTATAACTATTCCTTCTGGAAGTGACAGTCATGCTTTCATATAATGATAAAACTGCACATAATCTATACATTGAAAATGTCAGCTTCCAAGAGGAGTTGATCTCTCGGTTGAGCTTAAATGATTGAAAAGCTGGGTTCTCTAATTTTTAAGAGGTTCTTCAATCCCCCCCCCCCCCCAATCTTGCTATATTCATAAAAACGCTGTACAGACGCAACCTCGTGTGTCATTACTGTAACAGTTGATCAACTTGAATAGTTGTTATTCTGTAAAAGTCTGCTTCCCCCAACATTTTAAAAAATTTCCTCACATTCAAACAATTGTATATCCTACATGTAAAGTATTCAAAAACATCTATACTAATGAAATATTCATTAGCTAGACCTGTAGTTCCTGGTTGTAAGATAGTTTCAGTAGCTAAATAAACTTTTGTGTTTCTTTTAGACATGCTTGTTGTTGGAAGAGGAGTCTCCTTGTTGTTGCTTGTTGTTGGAAGAGGTAGACCTAAAAGTAGCCGCATAAAGACAGTCTCCGAGTTATGAACATTATAGGTTCTGTAGGTTTGTTCTCAAGTTGAATTTGTATGTCAGTCAGAACAGGTACATTTTAAAAATGTGACTCCAGCCAAATCTATCTATCTATCTATCTATCTATCTATCTATCTATCTATCTATCTATCTATCTATCTATGGATAGCATAGGGAAGGGAGAACATCCCTGTGATGTTTGTTTTGCTGTCCTTGCTCTTGTTCAGAAGATTTCACTTCACTTTCTCTCCCTGTGAGAATTGGATTTGAAAAAATGGCTTGTTGTAGAAATGAGGATTGGTAAGAAACCTTCAGTGGAGACCCCTTTTCTCCATGAAAACTCTTCCATGAGTGATTTTCCCTCCCTGTTGTCTCAGCACCGTTTTTAACTAGGGGTCAGGGAGTGGGATGTTTGTAACTTGGGAGCTGTCTGTAATACGAAATATTTGTATGTAGTTGGTCAAATGTTTGACTTTGTTGTGGTGAAAGCCAGTTGAATTTGTCTTGCTGGTTTCTAGTTCTAGAACCACGATCTGTCAATCAGAGGGATAAAGGTATAGGAACTCTTAAAGGAAACTCATATACTTTCTTCTTATATTTCTGTGTTGAGAATGGGAGAGCTAGTCTCTTAGATTGATCAAATAGAAGTTGTGAAGTTTTTTCTCTTGTAAAGCCATGGGTCCCCAGGTGTTTTGACCTACAACTCCCAGAAATCCCAGCTAGTTTACCAGCTGTGAGGATTTCTGGGAGTTGAAGGCCATAACATCTGGGGACCCACAGGTTGAGAACCACTGCGTAAAGCCACATTAAAGCATTTACGTTAGGATATGAACACTTTTTTTCATATGTTACAGGGAACAGTGGACCATTGCATAATAGGAGTAATGATTCTTTCAGAATTAACTCAGGAAATGAACTTTGTAAGTACTTTTCTTTTCTCTCAAAAGTATTTTATAATATCTGTAAATTGTCTGGAGTATGTTGCCTTGGTGGAGAGAAAAGTGGGAAACTGATCTGTGCTGTTAGTAGTGAACAATATTATGACAACATTGTCCTCTCCTCCCTGGTCATGTGGGTTCCCTTGCTGATGGCAGCAAAGTTGCCCAGCAATGACCAGAAGCTCTCTGAAGCTCTGTGGCTGTCCAGCAAAGCCACAATCCATCCCTTCTCCTTGTGTGCTGAGTGCAAGGAAAAGGGGATGGCAGTGCCAGTCCATGTGGATAGCATTGGAGCCAGTCTGCTGTCCACACTCAGTTTAGGCCACATTAACTTTCGTTAATGAGGGCCTAAACTGATTCACCTCAATTTATCACATGTTAAGAACCAGAAGTCCCTGGACATCATTTGGACATTGTCTGGATATCCAGGAACAACTTCCAGTCCTTTTCAGCTTTTAGGGCTAGTATAGACAAGCCCTTAGTCTACAAAAGCTTATACTACCTTACACTATCTACAAGATCCTATTCTATTGGATAGTTTGGGTTAGTGTGTTGCCATTGTGATGTCATGGGTTAGCTTCATGAATTTCCTAAGAATTTTTGATTGCTTTTGAAATCATCATTAATGGAAAAGGAATGGTGGCTTGCAGTATTCCCCAAGCCTTGGTTCCCGCTTTTTGTGCTTTCAGAGTAAACTGAGGTTCTCATGCACACTTCCTTTGAGGGAACTTCTTTCCAGATCTGCCCTCTTGTCGCTGTCACATAGGCTTCATTTGTTCAGGCAAAGTACTATACATTACAATGGAATGTTTCAATGATCAGTATTTGGTATGAGACATTTTGGACATTATGCAGTTATATGCTTAGGATTCTACATTTATTTAAAAACTTCCAGGAAAGAAAAGTCTGTTACCATATGAGGTGGTCTGTTTTTCTGGTGAAGAGGATCTACCATCAGGAAGTTATACCACCAGGAACTAAAGTTAAGAACATACATATATTGAATTGAAATATATTGTACAGATTAAATAATATGTATGAGACTGTCACTTAGTCACTTAGACATTCATTAGTTTTTGAGTGGATCACAACATCTTCTCTATTTGCTTCCATTCGTATATATTTTGAGCATGAGTTGACCAGTGTACCATTGTACGACATTAAAAGCCAAATAAAATGAACCAGACCATTGGGTGGGAGGACGACCAAGAGGTCTCGTTCATTCCCACGGGGTACCATGTTGCTGTGACATTGCTTCAGCGCCGATCTGTTCTGCACATCATGTGGCCTGCAAAGCGACATTAGAGTTGGGCAACATGGCATAGAGGATCTTCCACTTTTGATATTTTTCTAACATTCTCATTGTGCAGTCTGCATTCTCTCTGTGTTAGGAGAGACATCCCAGTGAGTGTGAGACTGTTGCTGCATATGTTTTGCTTATTAGTTCATCTGCAAAAAATGTACTTTAACAAATCTAAATGGGCACACATTTTTTCTTCCTTTTTTAGATAGATTATTCTAGACCTTCATCAAAACATCGTAAAATAGCTACCTCTTTTCGTGATACAACTTTAAAAGACATTTTGATGCTAGCATGCTCGCTGCTGAAAGAAGTAAGTCTGAATACTAAACATACTATAAAGAAATTGTTTTTTTTCAATATCCTTAAAACCAAATTCATTGATGTTTACTTTATAAAGTGGCATATAAGTGTTTCTTCTTCTTAACATGATTGATGGGCAGCTAAATGGAATATTATCTGCTATCAGCAACTGCAAAGCATGAGAGAATGGAGATGAATTCATCTACTAAATAGTGTTAGTAGTAGTAGCTATTCTCAGTTTTAATCTATCACAAAGGTTTTTGGTCCTCAGATTTTATCTAAGAGTCTAAAAATCAGTGAAGTATCATAGACTAATATGACATGCAAAGTAATGTTACTTTTTTCCATTTGTGCTATTGTGTTCCTGTCAATTGTGACATTGTGATCATTTTTGTAACTGCCTCCAAAGTGCCCAGCAGCACTAGAAATACAGTATAGTTGCTTTATTTTCCTTGAATCCAGCAGTACTTATTAATTCATTCCGTTAATATCTCACTTTCCTCTCAGTCTAGTACCCCCGGTAGTAATACTATATACTGAATAACTGGTACGGCCCAGGAATTTATAGCCATCATTAAGTTTTATTTTTAAATCTTCATGTATTCTTTTTACTTATAGTGAAATACTATTAATCAATACTAGTATTAATTATGAAATACAAGTGCTATTCTCTTTCACTCTTATTTTGAATATTGTCGGCTTGCAATATTGCCAAATATTTCTAATTTCAATTCCAACTCAGGCTTTTAATGGATTGCACTGTTGTCAAATCAAAGTTCAATTGAAATGTCTTGACTAAATGCACAATTTATGCTGCTACTTCCACCTTGTTTTGATATTTCATATACCTGATACATTTTCTTCAGTATGTACTGAGAGAACTGCCATTGCAGTAATGAATGGTAAAGGAGATAAGGAATCAAAATGGAAAAATCAATTCCACAAATTCACTGTTCCAGGATTCACCTGCATCTGTGACTTAAGATCCTCTGAAAATGCCAACCACAAATGCAGGTGAAACGCCAGGAGAAAATGCTGCTAGAACACAGCCATACAGCTCGGAAACTACACAACATGCAGTTCATTGTCGTGTACAGACAAACTACTGTTCACAAAATGGAAACCTTCAAAAACTAGAATCTTTATTTAAGAAAAAAGAGTTGATTGCAATACAACGTATGGTGTAGATCTTAGGAGTGAATAACTGCGCAGTATGTTTATAGTTAAAGCACTTCAAATATTCCATGGGATTTCATTCTATTTTACAATAAACAAAACCAGTCCCCCTCATGTGGGTTTCCTCCTATTAATCTAAATTATCTCAGAAATACTCCATCTTCTTCCCTTCAAATGAAGTCTCTCACAAGAATGGCATTGTAGCTCTTGATGGTTGTAAACTCCTTCTGCAGCTGGCCATAAATCTATCTGGCAAAGACAAACAATTCCAAGCTAATGAGAGAAAGTGGCATTCTCCAGGAGCCCCAATATATAAGGAGATACAAGTATTATTAAAGCATGATCACGCTCATCATAATACATAGCCAATATAAGTACCTTACATAAACAAATTGAGAATAAACATGGCAGGGCTTATGTTCCTGACCGTAATTGGGCAGCAGTTTTTTCGAGCAACATCTTCTAAAAATCTTTTGTAATCAACATTGTTGATCCAGTTGTCATCCAGTCATCAGTCATAGTTGTTTGTGCCAAGATGTTCAATTGGTGTGATAGTCTTAGATGAAGGTTTGTTGGAGACTTTATCTAGAATCCATTAAATTCACATCTGTTAGAGCCTGCCCAGTCCTTAATTCTTTTTGTCTGCATAGCAGTGTTTTCTATTACAATAATATCTTCCATCTCCCTTAATTTTATTTTTACTTCCACATTTTGGCTTCAGGTTGCATTTTTGGTTTATTCTACAGTGCCTTCCATAATGTAATCATATCATTCTTCCTAGGGAAGGTATTGTTGCTGCTATTTTCTCCTGGGAGACACTGACAAAATTGCTCCTAGTTATACTGCAGTTGGGGCATTCTGTTGCTGCTTGTTTTGGTGGTGCTGGTGTGCCTTCAGATAATTGCCAGCTTATAGTGACCTTAAGTCAAACCTATCACAGGGTTTTGTTGGCAAGATTTGTTCAGAGGGGGTTTGCCTTTGCCGTCTTCTGAGGCTGAGAAACTATGACATGTCCAAGACTATCTGATCAGTTTCCATAACTGGACAAGGATTTAAGCCCTGGTTTCAGAGTCATAGTGCATCACTCAAACTACAGTTATTATTAGGGTTAGATATAGCAAGATCATTATTTGATAATGGTAAACTTGGAGTCCTGTGGATTAGTTCATAGTTGTGAACTAGCAATGTACTCATGCTTGTAGCATTTGCTCCTATTTTATGTAAGTGGCTGGAGCAGCCAGACAGGGATAACTTGATGTGATGTCTTAATTCAAGATTATGGTGTATTACACCCAAAGATGGCAGGATTTTTATCAGCTTTCAATTATAAATCATGGCCTCTTTGAAGACTAGAATCCATGGTCCTGGGTTCTGTCATCATTCTGTTCCAACTTCACTCATGGTTTTGTTTACTTATTCATATAAAATATGTGCAGGCATGAGCATGTTGTAAATAAGTAAATCAGGATTCTTGGTTAGTCATTATATCTGTTGTAACTAATAAGACATCTTGGTCCAGAGTTAGAGCCTAGTGCAGGGAGACATTTGTGGCCAAAAGCGGATACTGCTGTACTTTAAACATATAATGTGTGTCTGTCAGGGGTTACTTATGATAATAATTCATTGAATGTAGAGGGACCCAATCATTGCAGGCAGTGGGGCAACAGACTGCAGACTGCACTAGGCTCTAACTCTGGACCAAGATGTCTTATTAGTGGGGCAGCAGACCATGCCTTTCTCCTTTTGCGTATTTCAAGCAGGTCCTTCTTTATGTTGACTCCATAGACGTTTGTGAGCTTATGATGTTTTGTGCTATATCAACATTTCATGCTAAACTGAGAGCATAGGTTATGTGCTGCTTGTTTGAAAGATGTATAATACTGATGCATATTTTTATATGCTTGAATTTAGATGTTGGCAAAACCATTAACACTTCAGGATCAACAGCAACAAAATTTAGCAATGTACCTTTTGAAACTTGTCCTCAATTGTCTTAACTATGACTTCATTGGCAGTTCAGCAGATGAATCTGCAGATGATCTGTGTACTGTACAGATTCCAACAAACTGGAGATCAAGTAAGATAATAATTACTGCTAATAGCCTTGTATGTTTTGTCTTTTGCCTGTGGATTTTATCACACCAGCCTGTTATCTTGTCTCAATTGCGTTGTTTAAGGAAATGGAGACATACAGTTATTGGGACGATCTCTGTCACAACATGGCACAGTTGTGTGCTATTGGCAATATATTGATGCTAGTTACCATTATAAGTCTTCTGCACAGCCTTTCTTTTTACCTGTGTTTGCCATACCCAGCATATGCGCATTATTTATCTCTTGTTTTTAATCCCCTATTCTGCCTCAGTTGTGCAGTTTCAGTGTTCTTACAAGACCTTCTTACACTTCACAACTGCAGTGGAAGGAAATGATTGCACAAGGAAGAATGACAAAACAACATTGTTATTGGTTTCATTGACTTTCCTCCCATCAATGAAAAGAGACAATCCAGTTGCAATTCAAACACAATGTAACTATGTGTAAGCCCCATCAGCAAGCACTTTTATCTTGCTGTAACTGCGCTTTGGCAGCGTTGCGTGATAAAGTCCCCAGACAATTCTAAAAGTGGTGCTTATTCTGTCAGAAATTCTTGGAACAGCTTTCTTGCTCGTTTCACACAGATGAAAAACTTTTTATTTCATAAAGAAGTAGATAGCAAAAAGTTTTCCCATCCTGCACAGAAAATTTAGAACAGAAGAATTTATTTTGCTAGTTCCACTCTTGCTCAGTTATTGTATACTCAAACTAATTGTTTTCAAACTAAGGCTTTTTTTGTCAGTTGTAACTATTTTTCAGAAATAATTTGCATTCTACACAAGCTGTTTCAGACAGTGATTCCAATCAACATCAGATTAAAGAATAGTGCTTTACCTGGGATATTTTGAGATCTCAGTGTCAAGTCTAGTAAATTACATGACATAAATGATGCCCTTTCTGCAGGTGTGTTTGTGGATCCACAATAAAAACCTTCACAACATCCTGACACCCAGTGGCAGAAAACTTATGCTCAAATGAAAAAAAAATATTTATTTGGAATAACTATCAGTCCTTTTTGGGGGGAAAGGATCTTGATAATATTTTTTTTCTCGTTAAACAAAGCAAAAAACAAAACTATATGGCAGCATTTTAAAAGCACTTTAGGTGACTGGTTAGTAAAATCTCTGCTTTGTAGAAGTACAATTCCGTGTGAATCCTGCAATCATATCATAGTCTTACTCTCTTTTAACCTCACCCAGTCCACCTACTAGCAAAACAGTAACACAGACTGGATGTTAGAAAGGCTCTGAAACTATATATCTGAAGCACCTTATGTCTATTATGTGTGTTGTAATGTGGCATTGGATCTTTGTTAATTTTGTAAGCCGCTTTGAGTCCCCTTCGGGGTGAGAAGAGCAGGGTAAAAATGGAGTAAGTAAGTAAGTAAATAAATAAATAAACAATCACCAGACTGTTTTGGAAAATAGAAGCACTCTTCTTTCACTCACCTTTCTCGCCAAGAAGGTAGTCTCATCTACACTAATTTAGTGGATCAAGGCATGCATTTTCCCTAATTAGTCCCTAATCTTATCAAAATGTCAAAATGTGACAGTCAGCTCTTTACTAGATCAGTAGCCATTTCAGTGGCTTATTCGACTAAGACTCCCATGGAGGAAATTTGAAGAGCTTTAACTTGGGTCACTCAGTCCACTTTTACAAAACATTATTAGTTGGATACATTTGCTTCTGTTAGGACATCCTTTCACAGAAGGTGCTCCTGCAGGTTCTATTGGGCTAAATTGATTTTCTTGCTACCATCCCCCCCGGGTATATTTATGCTAGGGTAATGCCTATTAAATTGATGACTCCTTGGCTGTCTTAGAAGGGTACATTTGGAAACTTATCATGAAGGTCCATTAAATCTAGCCAAGGAGGCGAAGCCATTATTCCTTTTTTTGGGGTATCTTCCTATTCTCTCTACAAACTGGGAAGGAGCTATGGACCAAATAGAAAATAATTTTTAAAAGCAACACATATAATCCCTTTCCTCACCTGGGTGGAACTGGAGTTAATTCAGTAATAGATGGTCTCTTTGGCTAGAATGGACTTTCACAGCAAATTCCCCAGTGTGCCATTTTGCTTCTCATGGATGAGACTTTGCACCCCATAGTAGAATTTTTCAAAGAGATAAAAGTGTTTTACTGCACAGAGTGATACTTGCAGTTAGCTTTGTGACATCATCTGGGAGTTCTGATTGGCTTCCTGGCACTGTGATGTTATCAGGATGTTGCTCAGTTGGGTAGGATCACTGTCCCAAAATCAAGAAGTTGTTAACAGATGCAAAAAAGTAAGAGGGGCTGAATATCCTACAGGCATCAGATTCCATCTAATCTTGGAAGCCAACCAGAATCAGTACTTGAATTGGAGACCACAATTTAATACCAGTTGCTATAGGGTATACTATATGTACAGTATATTCTGGGAAAGGAATACCTCTTGAGTATTTGTTGGCTTAGAAAACCCTATGAAAAATTCATATAAAAGAAAATATTCTCTGGGTAATATTTGACACTGCCTAGTAGAATTTTAATTTAGTGTTAGTGGTACTAGTGAAAGTTAGTTGTTCTGTAGTACTCCAAAAGAGCTGTTTGTGTATTTCATTCTTTTTCTTTCTCAGTCTTCCTGGAACCAGAGACCTTGGACCTCTTTTTTGATCTGTATCATTCCCTCCCACCGATGCTGTCCCAATTAGTAAGTATATAATAAATAATAATATTTTGGTAGAAAAATGTCTTATAACAAGTTATCATAAGTGACATGTTCAGTGTGTTAAATGAAAAACACACACATTGTCCCTCCTTAAATTTAACTCCTAAGATAGGGTTGGGCCAGATTTCAACTTCTAAATTATAAATATAATATATATATTACTACACTAATCATTAAATCACATCCGACAAAAATATGACTGGCACATTGCTAATGAGTTTGCTGCTTTTGCAATGACTGTTGATGTATAAATTACAAGTAAAAATGGGATTTTTTAAACCAGAAAAAAGGTGTTTGGGAGTGGAGCATTAAGTCAGAGCTGTGTGAAATTATGCAAGCAAATAGGAAGACTTTTCTTCTCCTTTCTTTTGTAATACAAAACCTTGGGTTCATCCTGGGGAGCAGAATGATGTAGATTCCAGAAGAGATAAAAGGAAGTGCTGTTTCACACAGTAAATTTATTGAAGTGGATTCCCTAACATGGAAGCTAGTCTTAAATAGTTTTAAAGGGACATTAGATAAATACATAGATGATAAGGCTGTTTACAACTACCAATCAATGTGTCTACATATTATTTAAGTATCAGAAGCAAGGTTTATGTGGGCTTATCCAGAAAAGAATAACATTACTGGAACATCCCAGTTCATTTTGTTTTCATTTTCCCTGCATATTCATGGCTGTGCATTCAAACCATGGGGGGGGGGGGGGATGGGGGAAAAATCACAGGTTTCCCCCATCCCTTGTGTTCTTCTGCCTTCTTCTCTCACTATTCACATGTCACATCTAGATGCGGGAAATATTGTAGAAATTGACTATCATCAATTTCCTTTTAAATTGTTACTAAGGCATTGCATTCAAAGTGTTAAAATGCTTTAGCAATATTATATTAGTTAAGCATTAGGATACTTTTATTGCTAGCATTCCTCTTTCTTATTCTTGAGCTCTGTTGAATCTCATGTCCTGGGAACAGTCACTGTGTTTCTCGTGAGAGGCCACCTTATCTAGATTCTGGGTAACTGAGACAGACAGACAGACATGGAGAGGTACTGGGCTAAAGTGGGACAAAAATTTCCTTGTATATGCAAGGAATACTCCACATTTGGAGAAAATGTCGTGTAGATCTCACCCTCCATTAAATCAGAAAGGACAGGAAATAAAACAGAGTTTCTGTTTTTTCCAATCTGACTGCCTGGATCCTGAATGTCTATTTTGTAGGATGATCTTGTGGCCACCATATCTTATTTGTGGGCTGCTTACAAACATCTGGTTGGCTAATGTGGAAGCAGGATGCTAAATAACATACACCATTGGTCTGATTCGTCTGTGATCTCCTTATATTTTACGTTAAACCCTTCAAATATTTGTTTGTTTTCTAGGCACTTTCCTGCTTAGTTCAGTTTGCTTCTACAAGGCGATCCTTGTTTAGCAATCCAGAACGTGCTAAGTATCTTAGTAATCTGATCAAAGGAGTAAAAAGAATACTTGAAAATCCTCAGGTAGATATTTTTTAACTTTCTCACAAATTCTGGATATATAGTATTTGGCAAAATATCTGTGGTACCACAGCAATTTACTGTGAGTGACTAAAATGTTTGCATGGTTATCTTTTTGAAATGCTTTTAGCTCCTTAAGTGTTTAAGGAATGCTAATAAAGTGTTTATAGCATGAAGGACATCTGTCATTCTTGTTTGGCTTTAACATTAGTTGGCACATGGATACATACAAACTTTAATATTCACAGGTTGAGAGCGAACCAACCAGCTGCAACAGTGCAATTGTCTGGTTTCCTATCTATCACATGGAGTTAACTATCTGAGTTTCAACATTTCCTATTCCATAGCTTCTATTGTCCCATTAAATCATCTTTCAAGATCATTTGCAGGGTGATGGTTTATTCAGTCAGTCAGTAGCCTTTATTTCGGTCAACAAACCATCAGCTAAGTCAAGTGAAAGTAGAATGATGAAATACAACAATTAACAATTAATAACATCACATTTGGCTTATAATTAATAAAAACAAGTATCACCATTCGCTATCGGATGAATGACTGTCTATATAATCTAAAACAGGAACTGATTGCAAATTAATAATAAGTCTCCCGAGTACTCTTTGTTACACTCAGCCTTTACAGGTTATTCATGAAGCACTTGTGGCTTTTTGCCGCTGCAAACAAAAATTTGGCCTTCTGTTCCGTTACCCTTGATGGTTTATTGCAAACTAATTTACTACTTTTAAAATACAGTCAGCCTTCCATATTTTGTGTATTTGACTTTTGCAGATTTGATTATCCACGGATTTGATTAAAATGTTTTCTCTATGAAACTCTGGGTCTTCCAGTATGGCTTAATGGGCAATTTCTCCTGGAGGTTGATCATAAAGTCGTGCTGGAGGACTTAGAGTTTCCTAGATAGAATACTTCTCTAGGAATCTCTAGGTCCTCCAATACAATTATTTTGACAATGTCTGGCAATAGTTGACCAGAGATTTATGCTGAAGAAATTATAATCTCTAGAGGTGTCTTCTCAAGTTAAAAAGCTTTATTTTTCAGTTTTTCACCTGTGCCCGTAACCCCAGAAAATGTGCGGGGCTGACCATTTGTTTAGGTGCATTTGTGTACATTAGACAATAACTAATTCATGCTGTTTTGTTTTTTGTGTAATTTAGGGTTTATCTGACCCTGGTAACTATCATGAATTCTGTCGATTTTTGGCTCGGCTGAAAACTAACTATCAACTGGGGGAATTGGTTGTTGTAAAAGATTACCCAGAAGTTATTAGACTGATAGCCAATTTCACCATCACTAGTTTGCAGGTAAGGTAGAAACAGAATCCAACCAGCTGAAAGTGGGTTGGGTTTGTATATGTCTTGATGGATCATGATGGGTTTATTAAAAAATGAGTGTTGTCTTATATGTATCAGCAACATTCTAGAAGATCACCAGTTCTTTTTAAAAAAAACATTTTTACATAACATTGGGGCTTTGGTTTTAATTGAGGCATAAACAGAAAGGGAATAAATAACAATGCTGTGTATATTACAATGTTTGTAATTGCTCACATTGGGCTAAAGCATGTTCTAATGAAAATCTCATTTTGTTTCTTTCTAGCATTGGGAATTTGCACCAAACAGTGTTCATTATTTGCTAACTCTTTGGCAGAGAATGGTTGCCTCGGTGCCTTTTGTGAAGTCATCAGAACCTCATCTATTAGATACATACGCACCTGAGATTACAAAGGCATATATTACCTCTAGACTGGAATCTGTCCCTATGGTCATAAGGTAAAATACAATAGCAGTTTCCATGGGTAGAGTTGTCCTACTTTAAACTTGATGCCACAAGTATATTTATTTTTTGCCAGGTGAAGTGTACCCTTTGGTCTATACCTAATACTCCAAAAAGAGCTTGTGAGGACTCCTTTTTAGCTGTTCCACCTTGGGTGCTGGTGGTTGTTGTTCTTGTTGTTTTAAATATCAAGACTATCACCATGTCCCAATAATTTATGTCAAGCTCCCTTTTTTTGCTTATAGGAAGCTCTCCTCGGAATGTTGACTTTTTCACTTTAAACTGGGAGTGTGTGACTGTCAGATGTTGAGGCATTTACCATGATTTTCTGATTTGTTACACAATTTTTTTTTAAAAAAAATCTGTTCCTGGTTTGAAAGTGTTTATCCTGTTTAATTCTGTTCCTGTTTTGAAAGTACTTGTTCTACTCCAGAAACTTTGTTTTGTGGTCGCCACAAACTATGTTGAATTGGTTGAGACTCAATGAAAAACTAGCAAAATGTGCTACAGGATGCCCCACAAAAACAAAGTTTTTGCAGTTTAATAAACCCTTTCCATGTTTTTTTAATGATAGCCAGGAACAAAAATCATGTCACATAGTGTTCTTACTCCCCCCCTCCTCCTCCTCCTCCTCCTCCTCTTCTTCTTCTTCTACTACTACTACTACTACTAGTGTTATCTTTTGGTCTGGAATTTCAACCTGAAACTTTAACAGCAACAAAAAGCAAATTTGTGGTGTCAAGCTGAGGGACACAATGATTCATAGCTGTTAGATACAGGCAGCCATACACACACCCAAACAGCATATTTGTATTGATTTCATTTCTATACAGACAGCATGTATATCTGTTATTGCTCAGATATGCCTTTTTTGAATATAGGATTCTGTAAAAACTGAATTATTACCTAAGTTTTATCATCTTAAGGACTCCTTTGTCCATTTTCTATCTCACTTCCATCCTTGCTTAGCCCTCTGAGAAGGCCTCTCATAGAACTTCATTCTAGTCCTCTTCCATTTTTCATCTCTCCCTCCGAGGTAGCCTTTGTATCTATATACTGCCCTCTTGTGGTTGCATCTGAGCACTGCATACATACATACCTATTTATTCTTTTTTGGGGGCCCAACCCCCCAATGGGGTGGGTTTTTTAGTTGACACCAAGCTAATATTATAGGTTGGAGCATGAAGGATATGTGTACGAGTTTAGTCCAGATCCATCAAGCCATGTAGGAACCTTTTTAAAACAAACATATAAACGTACACATATACTTTCACATTTTTATACAGGCAGTCCCCGAGTTTCCAACACCCATTGTTATTACTACACAATCTAACACCCTATGTTTCAAATCCATTTGAAATATGAAAGAGCACTTATTATATGTATTATACAGGCAGATCCAAGTTACAAACATCTGACTTACAAATGATTCATAGTTAAGAACATTGTTGAGACAACAGGAAGTGAGAGGAATCTACTCCTTGGAAGGAAATTCACTCCTGAAAGACTTATTATCAAGGGGAAAAGATGTCTCCACTGAAGCTTCCTCACCAATCTTTGTTTCCACAACAAGCCAACATTTTCAAAATCCAATTCTCACAGGGACAGAAAGTGTGGTGAAATCTTCTGAAAACGAGCACAAACAGCGAAAAAACAACACAGGGATATTAACCCTTCCCTATTTTATCCCAAGCTCCCCCCTATATATATTTGGCTGGAGTTACACTTAAAATGTACCTGATCCAATTTACATACAAATTCAGCTTAAGAACAAGCCTACAGAATCTAGTTTGTAACTTGTAGACTGCTTGTATATAGCTATGGCAAAAAATGTTACTATCATCAGTTGGCTTCAACTTAAGATGAGGGTATATATGGTGCTGTATTTTGGATATCATAACAGCAGTTGTCTTTTTTGAAAGCTTGAGGGAAAAGAGTGCTTTTGTTTCCACGTACTGTTTCTTGGTTACAAGCTTGAAGATGTTAGCCAGAATGCTTTAAAAACATGCCAGTGTTCAAAGGATATTACTTGCACTTTTTCATATTTCCCAGAATGATGTTCTTTTAAACAAATGTTTTCTAGAGATAGCTTGGATGATCCATTGGATGATACAGCTACAGTATTTCAGCAGCTGGAGCAATTGTGTACCGTTAGCAGATGTGAATATGAAAAAACATGTGCTCTTCTTGTACAGCTGTTTGACCAAAATGCACAAAACTACCAGAAGCTGTTGCAGTCTTGTAGTAGAAATCCTCTGGCAGTCTCAATTCAAGAAGGTAAGTATGCATTATCTTTTTAGTTACAGTTAAGTACGTCCATCTTTTCTCTATTGTTGAAGTTTGTTGGCACAGCTTGGTTTTATTTATTTATTTATTTATTTAATATTATATTTTTATAGTCCTTTTCTTCCATGATAGCTCATAGCATTTATTAAAACAGAATGCAGTTAAAATCAGTTCTCATAATGAAAAACAAGTAAATTGTCAAATTTCAAATAAATTAAAACAGCACTGTCCTGCTTCCAGAGACAGAATCTATAATTTGTTGCCTGTGCCTTTAAGGATATTGGGGGGAGGGGGGGGAGAGCTCAAGCCTGTGCTCCAGAATAGCAGTTATTTTACAGTTAGGTAGATGAGTTAGAGTCTAGGTATGGAAGGAAACAGAGGGATAGAAAGTGCACAGAAATTCATGTCCAGTTGGAGATCAATAGTCGTATAGAGTTATGTAGATAAAAGTAAGATATAGATAGTGATATTGTGGCATAGATAGTAAAGTAATAGTAGTCACATCTAATGTCTATATAGTGAAACAACAGCAGTCACATTTTGAGTTTAAGAACAGGGCTTCAGAAGCTTATAGGATTTCCTTTTCACAAAGACTCTGCAGTGGCAACTAGGGAAAGGAGGTTCAGTTTGTTTCAATAAAACATTGTTTTCCTTTACATATAGCCTCCGATCTGTTTTTGTGTTATAATTCCTTCCAATCCAACCACATAGCAACACAAAGGCAGAACAAGCACATTAAACACTGTAGGTTGAAATCTCTTCTGCAACAGTCAGTTAATTTTCAATATCCTGTATAAATAAAAAGGGTTTTACTCATTGATAAAGTGAACAGATAAGTGGGCAGAGTAGACATGGTAGAGAGTTCCATAACCTGAAGTGGTAACCTGCTTATGCCGGTGCTGGGATCGAAAGAAAGCCCTACTCTAAGGCTCCCAAAACTGGATGAGTTATATACAGGAACACGCAATCTGTTATATTTTAAAAAATAATAACAAGTATTTTAATATGTGCTTGGAAATGGAATAGTGAAACCTTGGTAATGGGAGCTATATGTTCCCGGCAACCATCCCCTCTCGAACTGCAGCATTCTGGACTCGTTTATGTTTCCGAAAACTTTCCAAAGGATGTGTTACAATAATCCATTAACTGCCTCTTGACCTTGGGACAATGATCCTACCCAACCGATCAACATCCCGATAGCATCACAATGCCAGGAAGCCAATCAGATAGGACTGCAAGATGGTGTCACAAAGCTAAGTCTGAGTATCAGTATGTGCAGTAAGACACCATTTAACTCTTTGAAAAATTCTACTGTGGGGATGAGGGGAGGAAAAACCCCACCAAGAGAAGCAGAACAACAACAATTTTTATTTGTACCCTGCCATCATCTCCCCAAAGGGGACTCGGGACAGCTAACATGAGGCCAAGCCCAAAATTACAGTACAGCAAAATAAAATACAAAGAAGCAGAAAATACCATCAAAATAAATACATGCAATAACAAAATAAAATAAACAATTACAAAATAACATGAAAGAGAAATAGAACACAGTGGGCGGGTCAAATGCACTAGGATAAAATTGATTAAACCCCAGATGAGATAAGTGGTGGGAGACTGTGTTTCTGAGGGAGGAGCTCAAAGGAACGAACAATGGGGTTAGACCTTCATTAAGGGCGTCGGGAAAGTGCATCATGAGGATGGAACTGTAGTTGGAACAGACAAAATATGGAATATATGTTCACTCGCCAAAGGCACATTGGAAGAGCCAAGTTTTTAGGTCTTTCTTAAAAGCTGCCAAGGTAGGGTCTTGCCTAGTCTCACTAGGTAGCAAATTCCAAAGCCGAGGAGCTTACTATGAAGGTCCATTCCAGCCAAAGAGAATGAATGGGTTGATCATGGTATGTGTCACCATGGTCAGATTGAACATCTCCAGCAAACTGTGAAATTTCTTTCTTTCTTTTGTGCTATTACCATATGAACAGGTAATTCACATGCTCGTGAGAATATTAACCAATCACTCTGACTACAAGTAGCTATACTAACCACAAAGCTTTTATATGTAGTTTATTTAGAGTAGCATTCAAACAAGAGAAGCCCAAGCTGCAAGAATGAGCTGCTGGCTTCTTCTAGAGATCTTTTTCTGACTTGTAGCTGTTGGGAAGACAAGCCAGAATTCTGGGTCCTGTCAGGTGACATGAGAGAAGCCTCCCACAGGATGGTAAAAGCATCCTTGGGCAACGTCCTTGCAGACGGCCGATTCTCACACCAGAAGCGACTTGCAGATTCTCAAATCGCTCCTGACACAGAAAAAAAAGTTGGCCTAAGGCTCTGAGAGACCAAGTTTCGAATCCCAACTTAGCCATGGAAACTCATTAGATGACTTTGGGCCAGTCACACTCCCTTGACCTGAAAAGGTGGCAAAGGCATAACCTCTCAAAACAAACCTTGTCAAGTAAACCCTGTTATAGTTTCGTGTTACATTTGCCATAAGTTGAAAGCACCTTGAAGACACATAGTAACCACAACACAATCCCAACTATAGGTGTCTCGGTACTGATCTTATTTCAGATAATGCATGAATGTGTGCCTATACATTGTTGGAGATTCTCAAGGCTTATTTGATTGTGTTGTGAAATCTCAGTTTACACTTTGCTCTCTGTTCTTTGATGAATATCTGAATAATCTGTTCACTCAATCAATACAAACTTGCCAGGCTATTAAAGTATTCTTTAGAGACTCTGCTTAGAGTGCCCCATCTTCTATGCTAGGTGTGACATGCGATAGATTTTTAAAATGTGATGTCATAAATCTGGAACAGAATTGCAAATACCATTAATTTTCTTCTCTGTACTATTTTTCGTTTGCTCTTCAGCCAAAGAAAGGTGACAGAATGTAAAAACAATAGACTTTATGTATGCAAATAGGAAAAGAAGTAACCTTGGGCACCAGTTTTTAAAGTTACATAGCAATTTTTCTAATGACCAGCTGGAACTGAATGAAAACAGTTCAGGGAGAGAAAGTGCCCAATTGAATGCAATACAGTTGATTTCTATTCAGCTAAACCATTAGGATTGGGATCAAAACTGGTGTTGTTGGCTCTAACTCTCAAGTCTTTAAGTGTTGAGTGGAGTTCCTATCATGGACATTCCAATGCCTACTGCCTGGTGATGCAGCAAATGAACTTTGCCTCCTCCTTCCAACCTATTTGACTTTGTCTATCAGCTCACTAGTATGACCTGGAAAAATCAAGAAGGAGTGAAGTGCAAAAGGCAAAGAATCCTTTCATAGTAGGGTGTTAAATTGCTGTTAGGGTACAGAATGCTCATTGTTAAAAACATTTTCATGAGTCAGTCTCAGTACTGGCAAAGTATGAGCCTGTTGCATTTTTCTGCAAGACTAACACAGCTTCTTTGGAATTGGTAAAATAATCTAACTTAAGGGGCCTAGCCAGGATAATCAGTTCAGAAGGTTTTTCTCTTTAAGCTGCCATTGGAGTAATGTTATATTAATGATTGTACAATTTTGAAGTAATGTCAGTACATAAGCATGCCTGCCCCTTTGAAGTAATGTCAGTACATAAGCATGCCTGCTCATCTTTACTAAGCGACCATCTGTAAGATACTTTCACCTAGTAAAGATCCTAGTCAAGCTCTGGGATTGAAATAATAACACTAACTTGTTATAATGAAGACTGAGATATTTTAAATGCAAAGCTCTCTTAATTCCAGTAAAACAATATAGAGATTATTATAATTAAAACTGGAGACATATCTTTTCAAATCAATACCCATTTAATGGTTCAGGAAAATTAAGCGCTCCGGATATTTTGTATCTGAAGCTGTTTGATCAAAGCAGTTAGCCATTTTCAATTATTTTAAATGCCTAAAGGGGTATTTTGGCAGAGAATGTTGGCATTGCTTTATATCTGTACTATTCTTAATGTAGTATTCATTTTCTTTTCTGTAGTCCTAACACTTCTGTTAGCACAGAACAATAAATGCTACTTCCCTTAGTTATACACACTTTAATTTCAATGTTTAATGGCTTTTAATGTTACAAAATAAGTTAATATAATATTAAGACCTCATTTTATTATATTGTCTTGCTCTCTGTATTGATTGTGATGCAGTCATGGTTTGCTAAAACAATAATCCCCAAGAAATGGGTCATTAACAGTAGTTAACGATTACTTGTGATCTATGGTAATGACTGATTTCTTTGGGATTATTGCTGTTATAAAACATAATTACAGATTATTACAGCAATAATTATTTTGGTAAAGAAAAAATATTCTGTTTAAGCAGCTGGAAAAGCAAGTATACTCAGTGTTTTGAATAGAAAAAGTACACACGAAAAATTATGATGGAAAATGAATTTTATCTTCTGTGGATAGGGACCAACAAAATATCATTAGCTGAAGAGTCTGTGTGCTCACAGAGGTACTTTGTAGTTTCATCTTAAATTTTGAAGAGGTTATCAATCCATGTTACGACTTTATAAATTTCCACGTTGTCAGTATTTAGCCATTCAGATATGGTGATGCTAGACCTAAAATTGTAAAATTGTACTTAATTGAGACATATTGTTATACTTTTTCTCAAATAATTATTTGATTAGAATCAGTCTTAATTTTTTATTGTTGTTTTATTATTTTCTTCCACTCTCACCCTCCTCTCCTTGTACATGAAATCTTAATGACAACAACCAAATACACAATAACAGCAAAATTACAAGATTAGTTTGCTTGCTCTTTAAAATGCAGGACTCTCATATTATTTTTTCTTCCATTGAAGTATTTATGAATTGCCTTTTGAATAGTTCAAAGTGATTAACACAAAATCAAAGCAGTTAACATGAAAGCACTATTTAAAAACCCAAACGTTCATACAAGTACACCAGTAGAGATTTGCAGCCTTGCAAAACTCTGATACGTGTCCTTAGCTATTGTTCATATCTGATGTGTTACCCTTTTGTCTCCCCCCCCTTTCTTTTTTACTTTCTGTCTCTGTCATATTTTAATTTTTAAAAACTTGAGATGAATATGGATTTCAAAATCTGAGCAATTAGTTCCAGAGCTTAGGAACCATCACTAAAAAGACTCTGTCTTTAACTGCTCTTCTCCAAGACTTTTGCACGTGTGGACCACTGGGAGGCATTTGTAGCTTCGTTGATGTAGAATCCTATAGGGAGAGCATATCCATGTGATATGTGTGTTGTAGACTGTGTGAGAATTTACAGTTTAAGACAGAACACTGGCTATAAACTATATTATTTTAGTTAGTACAAAACTAGATGGCTATGACGAATCTCCAGACATTAGACAAGAGATGATACTCTGTATCATGCAAAATGATTAAGTTATCTTAAAGGGCAGCTAGAAATAGAAAGGCATTGCAGTGATCAAATCTAGAAATGTACAGTATCTGTAATACTATTTGTATTGCTTTAGAGTACAGTAAATAGAGGAATATGGTAAAATGTGGGAGAAAAAATGGATGAGTGGGTGAATTCGAATGTTGGAATGTGCTAGGTACTTCTTTGCTGCAGAGGAAAGGGGAGGGTAGAAGAGACAGGGGGAGTCGGAGATTTGTTTTCATCTTAAGGTATGATGAGCATTGCCAAATCTTCACAAAGCTTTATGAATCTACACTTTAAATCTGTTTGTTTATTTTTGACATATTGTGTCAGCAAAAGTCAATTCATTCAACCACATTTGAGCACAGTATTTGGCCAAGCTATTTAGAGCATTGATAGATTGGTAAATGTTGAAATATTTTTGACTTTAATAACATTGATATACCAGATAGAAGTGGAATTGAGGTTAGAAAAAATTAAGCTTCAGTGAGTTGAAAACTAGGTAAGGTGACAGCTCCAGAGCTTTCAAATCTACCCCTAGGTTTTTTTTTTTAGCAACCTGCATGGTACCACATTTTTTTTAAAAAAAGTTTAACCTGAAAAATAGTCTGAACACTCTCACACTATTTGAAAATGCATGGTTTAAATCAATGGTTCTCAAAACTTTATCCTCAAGATGTTTTGGACCTCACCTCTCAGAAATCCTGACTGCTGGTCAAATTGGCTGCGGCTTCTGGGAATTGGAAGTCCAAAACATCCAGAGGACCAGTTTGAAAACTGCTGAAGAAGACTGTCCACGCCGCAGAATATTGCATTTCTCACTTCAAAATATTCACCAGTTGTGATGTGTACCCAAATGTGCCAGCACAGCCTGCAGAATTGGCCCATAGGGGTGAATATTGGCATCTTTTGTTTACCCTGATCCACTAAATCCCAAATTCCAGAAAGTCCCCCAGACTGGAAGTGGCCACTCCTGGCTCCTCCAGCTTGAAACTTTGTGGCAGCCATTCCAAAAGGAAGGGATAATGCCCTCAGTGATGTTCTCCATGGCTGATAGGTCCTGTGTCCCATAGAACATAGAGACACTGCAATTCCTTCATTAACTTTATTGGAAGATTTTTAAGCATGCAGAACCAAGCGACTAGTTTTAATGTTGACAGAGAAAGGAGTAATTTCCAGAAAATGTCATGACAAATGGTTATTTTATCATATGTTGGATGAGTATGAGATGGCTGTTGATCTTTAGCAGCAAGTTTTAACATTTTGGAAAGGTAAAGGAAAATATTGGAGAATATCCACATTTTTATCAATAATTCCCAAACCAACATAATACTCTATTTCACCTTGCAATAGTCACATTTCTGTTTACTTTTTGTGTTAAAAAAAGAGTGTATGTGTGCAACTATTAAGTGAAAAAATATCATGCTAGTCTTATGTGCTAAAATTACTGTACTGCTGGCAGATGAACTGTATATGGACTATGCTTTCTACATTACATGACATACTCTACCAATGACCTAGCTGCCCTTTCTTCTTTCAGCTATGACTCTTCACTGGGTTGAGTCTGAAAGCTGGTACTATCACTCCCTTCAACTTTTGGACTCAACACAGCACTTTTGGACTCGAGAGAGTGATAATACTGGTTTCAGATTCAATCCAGTGAGGAGCCATCATTAAAAGGGGAACAGGCAGGCAAAGCTATCATGGGTACAGTAAGTCATGTGATGAGGAGAACATGGATTATTCCTGCACAAGCTAGGATGTCAGCAATACATTGGCATAACTCACAAGATACATAAATTATGTGAGGAGAGGAAAAAATACCAATTTTGAGACACAAAAGAGGAGGTTTGATTATTATGTTGTAGTGATTATTATACGGCGAAATACAGTAATTTTGTTACATTTTCAAGTGTCTTCATTTTCCTGTGTGTCTGGTGGAAGGTATACAATGGTAAGAAACAAAAACATAATATACCAATTTAATCTCAAAATTGCTAAGTAGCTCAGTGAGTATTGTGATTTGTCCCTCATTCCTGCAATTTATCAGTCACACTTGTAGAACAGTTTGAAAAACATTCAGATGCTTTATGGAATTATTCTAAAAAAAATTGTATAATCTGTTTTCTTTTTTCTGCTGCATCTCTAGGACGCTTAGCCTGGCTTGTGTATCTTGTTGGGACTGTTGTAGGAGGAAGATTAACATACACCAGTACTGATGAACATGATGCTATGGATGGGGAATTGTCCTGTCGGTAAGTGGGTGTACAGAAGTGTTTATAATAATATGATTATAACTGTATTTATGTTTGCTTTGGTTGCCCTAAGGCTGGA